TCGGAGGGGAATGAAGTTAATTTCACAGTGACTGAACAGAGGGGTTAGACAAACACCACACACACAGCTTAATATACTGTAATTACTCAAAAAGTGAGAGCGATTAAATTTCAGCGTGGAGAGGAGGGGGTTACACCGCAGTGAGCTGAGGGGGGCAGAGAGCCACCACGGAAATTATGGACCTCAACGAGACACACCAGAATAGAGAGTAATTCCTAGATGGAGAAAAAACAGAGAGAAAGTTATCTTAGATACACACAGAGAGAGAGAGAGAGAGAGAGAGAGAGAGAGAGAGAGAGAGAGACTACTGAATTTGTTGACTGCATGTAAGAGAGGAAGAAAAAACAGATCAGACAGACACAGAAAGAGAGACTGTGTGAGTAAGAGATCAGACAAAGAGAAAGAAAGAAACAAAAGAAAGAAAAAGAAAGAAAGAAAGAAAGAAAGAAAGAAAGAAAGAAAGACAGACAGAAGGAAACAAAGAAAGAAGAGAAACAAAGAAAGAAAGACAGACAGAATAACAGACAGAGAGAAAGAAAGCAAGAAAGAAAGCAAGCACGCAAGCAAGTAAGAAAGAAGAGAAACAAATAAAGAAAAAGAAAGAAAGAAAGCAAGCAACACTGAAAGACAGCCCAGCTGTGAGGGGGCAAACCCCTGACTGACGCTGTACACACATACACACATCTGTAAGAGTCGTTCAGTCATTCTCTACATAAACAAAGGGAAAAAAGCGGAGGACAGAAAGTAAAGCACAACAACAACAACAACAACATAAAGCCTGAAAGAACATGACGACAATAACAGGAAAAAGAGAGAGAATGTAAGAAAGAAGGAAAGCAGAAGAGCCCCCACCAGCTTCAGAACCCCCACGAGGCCACAGCGCTTATTTAAACGCTTTCAGCAGCAAACAACAGGACCACCTACTGATTATCAGCGCACACACACACACACACACGCGCGCGCGCAGAGTCAAACTAAACTTCGGTTAGAGAAAAGACACTATAGTCTGAACTCAATCCCGACATCACAAACAAGCGGGTTTACATGAGTCTGTAACGGCCATTTCGAAGGGGGAGAGAGAGAGAGAGAGAGAGAGAGAGAGAGAGAGAAAGCGAGAGCTGGTATGAGTGAGAGAGATAGAGAAGCTGTGAGAGAGAGAGGCAGAAAAGATAGATAGAGCGAGTGAGAGAGGGAGAAAGAGCTGGTGTGAGTGAGAGAGATAGAGAAGCTGTGAGAGAGAGACAGAGACAGAGAGAGAGAGAGAGAGAGAGAGAGAGAGAGAGAGAGAGAGAGAGAGAGAGAGAGAAAAAGAGCTGGTGTGAGTGAGAGAGAGGCCATGAGGGACAAAGCGAGAGCGAGAGAGAGAGAGAGAGAAAGAGCTGGTGTGAGTGAGAGAGAGAGGCCGTGAGGGACAAAGCGAGAGCGAGAGAGAGAGAGAGAGAGAGAAAGAGCTGGTGTGAGTGAGAGAGAGAGGCCGTGAGGGACAAAGCGAGAGCGAGAGAGAGAGAGAGAAAGAGCTGGTGTGAGTGAGAGAGAGAGGCCGTGAGGGACAAAGCGAGAGCGAGAGAGAGAGAGAGAAAGAGCTGGTGTGAGTGAGAGAGAGGCCGTGAGGGACAAAGCGAGAGCGAGAGAGAGAGAGAGAGAAAGAGCTGGTGTGAGTGAGAGAGAGAGGCCGTGAGGGACAAAGCGAGAGCGAGAGAGAGAGAGAGAAAGAGCTGGTGTGAGTGAGAGAGAGGCCGTGAGGGACAAAGCGAGAGCGAGAGAGAGAGAGAGAGAAAGAGCTGGTGTGAGTGAGAGAGAGAGGCCGTGAGGGACAAAGCGAGAGCGAGAGCGAGAGAGAGAGAGAGAGAGAGAGAGAGAGAGAGAGAGAGAAGCTGTGAGGAGGATAAAGTGGTGATAAATGACTAAAAACAGCCCTTTCACAATTTTTTATTCAGCAATAAACTACAGTACATCATTTCAAAACCTCACAACTACTTCCTTTTCATGCATGTATTTCATTTTTTATTTACGCCGTCTGGAATCGTTGGCTGTTTCACTGCATGACGAATGGACCAACAGAAACGGTCAGGTGTTTAAGGCAACCGCTAATACAGTCAGCAAACCTGCTTAGGCTTTTTAAATGGTACCTCCTTACATAACTGACATAGGGAACATCCAAAAACATGTAAATCTGCATTAAAACCATTTTGAAAATTTAAGTGTCCAAAAACTTATGACAGTGTAACTGTTTTAACAATTACGTTATTCATACGTTTCTATTATGTTTGTCGGTCAGTTAAGATAGTCTGAATGACTGTCACTGATTGTCATTCAGTGCTCATCCATCCATTCGGCAATGAACCAACTTCACACCATCCATCAGAACAGAAGCCATGACACATGACTGCAGGGTTTCTAGCAGTGTAGCAGCGCCACCTACCGACCACTTACAGACCTCTTTTCAGCTCAGTTTCTCCTTTGAGTCAAGCAAACACCTGCATGCTCTGAAATGCTTCACGAGCCATATGAAGCCACAACAGCACCCTCATGTGGCTGTTATATGAAGCGCACAAGCTCCTACACTTGTTTTACATCAAAGACAAATGTCATACTAACATCCATTCAAACAGGAAGTAGCTCCGACTCTCACAACCGCAAAAGGTCATATGATGAGTTTCTAGGGCCAAACAAAAGTATCAGGTCTAAGAACTGAGCATTCTCAATCACTGGCCGCCTGCTGTACGAAACCAAGGTACAAAAATCTGAACGAAATTTTAAAATTTATATCCGCAGCACATTTAGAAGAGGTAGGCTCTGCTGTTCTTGATGACTCTTATTTACCCATAACTATGTAAGCAATTTGAATATTAAATTACTAAAATATTTTGAGTCAGTGTGTGGTCATATGGGGAGTACTTTTAACCCTTTCATACACAGAAAGTTAATATGAGGCTTTTCTAAGTGACAGCAAGTTAAAACATCATAGAGAACACACTGCATATTTTAATGCACTATTAGTGTCTATTTGCTGAATTTAATATATATAAAAAAAAAAAAAACATAAAATGCGGCCTGTGTAAAAGTTACGGCATTTTTATGTTTATGCTAAACTCAGCAAATAAACAGAAACTGTGTACTAAAACCTTGTGTGTTACATATTTAAAATTGCAGTTTAAATAAATGTATTTGGATTTTTTTCGTTCTGTTTTAGAATAGCCTGAGTGATTACATCTGCCGACACTGATGACCTACAATTCTACTGTTATCAGTGAAAATACTGCTGATATTGCACTGATAATTGGTGTTTTTCCTCCACTCATGGCATCACTGGGAACTACTGCTCTCCAGATGACTGATGATGACCTTAAGTAACACAGACTGAACTGAAGAATTCGAACACAAAACACCAAATATATTAAAATAAACAAAAAATGTATCCAAACATCACATCCACGAGAATAGCACATAACACTCAAAAAAACAAATAAAAAAAACCTTACTTGTAAAATATAAATATAAAATTATATCTGCTAATTTTATCAGTTATCACAATTTCTAGCCCTCTAAAATCAACAAAAACCAGTCACAAAATCTTATTTCTAACCTAAAAATCTGGATATGCTTTTTTAAAAATAATTCATGCATGAAAGAGGTTATGAAAGTATATTTCCATTGAAAGATGTAGTCATGGTGCAGTGGGGAAGGTGTGCTGTGCTGGAACAGGTGTGTTTTGGTTCTCTTTTTTCAATAAAATAGAAATAAAATTTGGTCAAATAAACTAAACAAAACACAAGCTGATAACTTATGAATGCAAACCTTGAAATGTCACAACACTGATCCGGTACAGTAAAAGCAATTTAAGTTCGGGGTAAAAAAATATTCAGAATACAACTAGTAAAGATCAAAAGATGTAAGGAAGTTAAAAATGAAAGACGTCTGTTATAGTTGTCCATGTGTGACAGTCTGCAGCTGTTGAAGGGGAACCTTTTTTTTTTTAAATCTGAATATAAAAAGTCATTCAACAGTTGTTTGGTATGAAAAGCTTCTTTTAAGAGAAACCAAGTCTGAACTGTTTACAGCCTTCAGACGTCTGAAGAGTTTAATACCTCTATAAGCTCCGTCACAGAAAGTCATTACATGAAATGATTATGAATGTGTCAACAAGGCTTTTATCATTATTTTAACATGATTAAAATTCCATATAAACAGTCAGGAGACATGTGTTGGTTCACTGGTGGTTTTGGATAGTACATTAAATGTCTATATTTGCTGGTTCCCGTCACCAACACTGCAAAGAAATCTGAGTGGGTTTCTTCTTCACAATAAACTGTTTCATATCAGGCCACTCCCTGAGTGAATGAGCTTATTCATATCTCTATAACTAAATTATGCAGAAATTTGGAAAATTCAGTGGAACTCCTCTTTAATCTCTAATTTTCTGACTGATTAGGTCAGGATTTCTCACCATTATCCTCAGACAAATGGTGCCATGCGTGCACTTTACATTTTTGCACCTAAGCTATGGTTAGTTAAAGGAATGGTTTACTGAAAACTCTAATTTTGCAAAATCCTCTTTGGTCCAATCCTCTCAAAACTTCTGTTGTTTATATAAATTGAGACCCAGATGGGGTGTGCAACGTTTGGTCCAGGGGCGCATTAGCACTCAAAAAAAAACAAAACCAAAACAAATCTGCAAAAATGCTATTACAAGGTTATTACAAGGTCTACAGATAAACAAGTGGTGCCATTTGATTCAGTTCACTGAACTGAATAACTTAAATTTCACTCATTGTTTGGCATTTTGGCTTAAATTTGTTTGGCACACTGTTCTTTTCACCATGGTTGCCTATTTGGTCTAATTGGGCTATTGTGTGCTTGGACCAGCTCATTTTACATTTACATTTTTTTTTGGTGAACTGTTCCTTCTAGGTTATCTGTAGGTTATGGGAAGCACAGAACCTTCTTTGTGTTAAGTATTTACTAACACTACTGATAAATGACTGATATCTGTCACTCACCAGGACTTTGGCTGGCCGAAGTGAAGGTAGTTGACGCTGTAGAGGTCCATGTCCTCCGTGTGCCAGGCGAAGGTGGTCTTCCACATGCCGAAATACAGATAGGGTGTGTTTACACCCTCGATGATGATGCCACACTCCTGCTCTACCATGTCGAGGAGTGTGTTCAGATGACCAATATTCCACTCCGTAATGTCCTGTAATATCACAGAAAAACGAACATGGAGAACCAAAACATTTATCTTAATCTCAAAAGCTTGTTCAGAAATTCAAACTGGTTAAAATATGTTGCAGGGTGAACTTTGTAACACTAGATGGCATCATTACATCGATTCAGGGGAAAAAAAAAACCTAATAAAAAAATATACACAATTTAACTAAAAGTAAGTGAACACCTGACCATCACACCCATATGAGCCATTCCAAAACCATGGGCATTAATATAGAGCTGCCCCCCCACCCTTTTTGCAGCTATAACAGTCTCCACTCTTCTGGGAAGCTTCCCACATGATTTTGGAGTGTGTCTGAGGGAATTTGTGCCCATTCAGTCAAACGAGCATGTGTGAGGTCAGACACTGATGTTGGACGAGAGGGCCTGGTTCACAATCAACATTTCAGTTACTCTCAAAGGTGTTCAGTGGGGTTGAGGTCAGGGTTCTGTGCAGCCCACTGGTGTTCCTCCATACCAAACCATGTCTTTATGGAGCTCCATTTTTGTGCACAGGGAAAAGGCCACCGGAGCCACGGTGGCAAGCAGCCATTTGCCCCACCACTTTTCAAAGTACTGTGGCCATGCCCCACTACTTTTTGAGCTCTGGGCGCAACATCAAAAAAAACTCCGCTTTCCTGCATGAAGCGCTGACCAGCACGAAAACTCAGCAGAGCCAATCAGAATCTCCATTTCAGCTGGGAGGTGCTTTTAGACCTGCCTTGATTGGTGCAGACCTGTCCAGCTTTTTCTTTAGCTCAGGTTTGATATGCGACTCCACCCGAATTCAGATAAGCCCCCAACAACTGAACAGCGCTAATTCACAAAGGAATTCAACACCAGGGCACGTTTTTGCTGTACTGTACTTCTGTACAGAGTACTGTAGTGAAACTTCTACTAATTTACTGAAGTACATGTACTTGGGTATACAACGATCAAGCATAACATTATGACCACCTCCTTGTTTCTACGCTCATTGTCCATTTTATCAGCTCCACTTACTATATAGGTGCACTTTGTAGTTCTACAGTTACAGACTGTAGTCCATCTGTTTCTCTGATACTTTGTTAGCCCCCTTTTACCCTGTTCTTTAGTGGTCAGGACCTCCATGGACCCTCACAGAGCAGGTACTATTTGGGTGGTGGATCATTCTCAGCACTGCAGTAACACTGACGTGGTCAGTGGTGTGTTAGTGTGTGTTGTGCTGGTCTGAGTGGATCAGACACAGCAGTGCTGCTGGAGTTTTTAAACACCTCAGTGTCACTGCTGGACTGAGAATAGTCCACCAACCAAAAATATCCAGCCAACAGCGTCCTATGACCAGTGATGAAGGACTAGAGGATGACCAACACAAACTGGTATGCAGAGAAACAGATGGACTACAGTCTGTAACTGTAGAACTACAAAGTGCACCTATATAGTAAGTGGAGCTGATAAAATGGACAATGAGCGTAGAAACAAGGAGGTGGTCATAATGTTATGCCTGATTAGTGTTTGTAACTAGTTACTACCCACCATTGAGTAGGTTGATAAAGACGTGTTCTTAGCATGACAAGAAAGGCAGTGACCCGACTGCATTTCATCACTCAGCCAGATGCTTTTTTTTGGGAAACAGCATGTTTTGCCCCACGATTTTTGGAGGGCTCAGTCCTGCTGGATCTGGAAAGGGCTTTAGGCTTGTATGCAGCTTCTCGGTCATGGAAACGCATTTCATGAATCTCCTGAAACACACAGTTCTTGTGCTGATGTTGCTTATAGAGGCAGTTTGCAACTCTGTAGTGTGTGTGAAGCCACAAGGAACAGGCAGGAAAGAGGCCCTGCTCTGTGAGACTGCGTGGTCTACCGCTCCGTGTCTGAACTGTTATTACTCCTAGACGCTTTCATGTCACAATAATAGCTATTACAGTTGACTGGTGCAGATCTAGAAGGGCAGAAATTTGTGACCTGTGAAAACCTGTGACAATGGTAACATCCTATAACAGGGCCATGTTTAAAGGTATAAGACTTTTCTGTAAAACATTGATTTTGAAATAAGTTTCAGAAGCATCAGCTAAAACAATTCCAGGGCTGCGACTAACCGGATCATAGAGGGATCCACTGATATCTGCACCGTAGATCGGAGACACGAACGTCAGATTTTTCCAGTATTTTCTCTCGAGGTCATCAAAGTCTTTGTGCTGAGGAGTGCAGTACCTGCATGGAGAAAGAAGATCAGAGAGAAGAGAACGAATCAGTTACTTAAGTAGAGACAGACTAACAAGAACAAAGACTCCTTCCTGCTTACAGGAAAACTGAGGGAACTTTTTAACCACTTAATCTCCAGACAAACTACTCAGTTTAGTTAATGTAGTTACTATTATGAAATCAGTGTGTAAGTTCTGTAGGAATAAGTGTGGATTAGAGCCGTCATGAAACCAGAATTAAGACTTTAATACTGATAACAAGTGCACAAAAACGACACTACAGCAAAAGATTTTAAAATACTTCCTTTCGAATCACATTTATATGGAGCCCTGCTGGTGATATCTCGTATAAATTGAAATAATTCGTCTTAGTAAGGTGAGGGAATGAGATAATTGTGGCCACAACTTAGTAAGGCGTGGGAACAAGATCATGCCTTATTAAGCTGTGGACAAGGCTTAATTATCTCATTCCCTTGCCTTACTAAAGGCCAATTAATAGTCTAGGCAACAAGTATCACTCCACTAAAAAAAACTGTGGTCGACAGACGTCGCAGCACTGTAGGCTTTCATAGTCCTGCTCCCAGTGGGACAGTAACAAAGTAAATGTAATTCGTTACTGTACTTAAGTAGTTTTTTGTGCATCTGTACTTTACTAAGTTTTTCCATTTTGGGCCACTTTTTACTTTCACTCCACTACATTTCAGTCAAGTCAAATATCTCACTTTTTACTCCACTACATTATGAGAAATCTGTCGTTCCTTTTGGTTTGTGTGTGTATAAAAACGTAACATGTCAAAATGAAAGAAGCACAAAGCAAAAACACCAATCAGGGCACAGCGGTCACTTTGTTTTGAGCTTGTTTTGACCTGTTGGTCATACCGACCCAGTGCAGCACACGGTTCAACATCAGTGCAGCAGCGTAAAATTTTGGGAGAGTCTATTCAACATAAATGATGAACTGACCTAACTTTGTGTAAACAGACCACAATATAGAAATATGTACACATATGTAGTCGTGACTGTCGTGTCTTTTTTCTGAATTTATACAAACACTTTCATTTTATAGTAAATTTGTTTTGGCTAGTTTATGTTTATGAACAGAGACCTACAGATGCAGTTTAGTAAAGGAAACTCATTTGTGAATCTGAGTTTAAAGTTTTTATTAAACTTAAACTTCTAACTAAGTTGCAAATAAATCGTAAACTGAAACTTTGCTTGTTTGTAAAAAGTGATTTCAGAGCCACTCAGTTCTACCTGATGGAAACTGTTGGCCTTCAGTGTTTTCAGTGATTAGCGTCACTAATTAATGACATGCTATTAGAAGACTGGTTTACCAAGAGTGACACTGGAGTATTTTCACCTTAATGAAGCGAGTCTTGTTACAAAAATGATAAAACATTAGAGTCATAAGTTTATCTTCCAGTACTTTTACTTTCGATACTTAAGTACATTTGAAGGCAAATCCTTTTGTACTTTTACTCAAGTGGAGGTCTAAAGGGAGGAACTTCTACTTTTACTGGAGTAATATTTTACCTTGGGTATCTCTACTTTAACTCAAGTACATGGTTTGTGCACTTCATCCACCACTGCCTGCTCCAACGACAAAACGCTGGAATAGGACATCATCTGTAGTTTCTATGAAAACCTATATGACAGCACAGCTACCGAAACAGCTGCTACGGTGAAGCTGCAACCAGAAATACTAATACAGATGAATCCTTGTTGCATCATGGCTAATGATTAATCTGCAATATTCCAGAACAAAATAATAATCAGCTGTTGTGTGCCTTCATTCATCTTCCCACAGAAACTTATCAGGAACTGTGACTGGTCAGGAAACTCACAGAACACAGCAGAACACTGTGATTGGTTAGTGGGCTAATTTGCATATTGAGGCCTTCAGCAATATCAGTATTGCAAAGGCCAACATCACAATAAGGATTGACAAACAATATAGTGCGCAGTTCTAGTTAAAATCTATTAAGCTTGAAGCCCAAAAACTGTCCTACTTTCAGAGGCACTGTTAGTTCTTCTTTTAGCCACAGCAGCCAACATAATGAGGAAATGCACATTTTCATACACAGCATAATCAAGCATGACGGGACTGATCTGCTCAGTTAACTCAGTTACTTTCAGCAGCTCTGAAGTTCATTTCTGGTTGTTTGATTTGATAATATGATTGCATTAATGTATTATTATTTTTTGTTGTTTATTTTATATTTTTAAATGTTTCACTGAACTACAATTTCTTGATTTCCCTGCTAAAGTTACTCTTTTTATTTTCTTTTTAAAATTACATAATTATTTACTCCATTTTTATTTTTCCCTATTCTCCCTAGTTTAAGGTTTTGTTTTCTTTGTTTTCTGATTCGTTTCTTTGTAAAGCCATTGGAATTAATATTTTGTATGAAGTAGTTCATAAAAGTGTATTTTGTATGAATACTAGTTTATAAGCAGCAGTTGCATCTAATGTCGCAAAATATTTTATTTTCACTAGATTTCTGAAACTCATGTCACATCAATGTTTCATGATAATACCGTGTGTTATAATCGAGTGACAGATAAAACCCATTTCTGATAATCATACACACTTAAAAAAGATGGTTCTTCAAGAGTTCTTTAGCAAAGACAATGGTTCTATACAGAACCATGAACACTCAAAGAACCCTCTGTATGATTAAAGGGTTCTTCAGACTGACATCTACAGAGAATGTGCTGTATATGGTTCTATACAGAAACGAAAATGAAAAGCGTTCTGTGCAGTGTTCTGTGCAGCACCCAAAAGGGTTCTTCTATTGTTATAAGCTTGACATTGTCACAGTAGAAGAACTCTTTTGGGTGCTATATAGAACCCTTTTCAAAAAGGTTCTGTATAGAACTATATAAAAGCACATTCTCCACTAATCTGAAGAACCCTTTCATATTTCTTTGAGCATTCATGGTTCTATACAGAACCATTTTCTTTACTAAAGAAGTATCGTTTTTTTTAACAATTAACAAGCAAATTCTGAACATCTTGACATTTATGAAATTGCAGATGTGTAAAAGCAGAGAAAACAACAACAAAGTGCCATATAAATGTATTCCACGACTGGGAACCACTGCACTGCACCAGTAAAAATAAAGGTTCCTAAATGATCTTTGGCTTGGATGTACAGTTCTACGATGGAGTCCTTACTTCAGTGTCCAAAATCCGGCCCCAGGGCCAAATGCGACCCACAGACAGATTTTAATTGGCCCCCGGTTTCTGTTTTACAGGTGTATTACAAGTGACCCGCCTGCCAGTACGCTGCAGTTCTTCCTGTCACCTGATGGTGGCAGCTGAACAGACCTGCAGCGCCATTTACTGAACTACATTTAGTCAAAACTACAGACCTAAAGCTAAAACTAAACACTGAGAACTGGCAATTTTGGCGAGATGGAAAACTTCTTATAGAGCAAATTCAGTAGTTCAGTAAATATTAACCCTTTAATGTACGTGGCTACACTGCGTTTATTTGATATGTGAAGAACATTAACTAACGAAACCAAGAATGTAAAGATTTTTGTTTAGTTTTTCCTCACAAAGTATATTTTTCAACAAGTAAACAAAAGAACATGAATATGATAAATGCATCAGACACTGTATTGTTACTCAAACAATTTAAGCGTTTATAAGCGTTTTTGATCCAAACTGTTCTGACTGAACAGTCCAACAATAAAAGAAGCCTTGTGCATCTTTTATGCAGTGATAAGAAACACTGTAGCTCATAGAAAGCTCCGTTTCTATACGCTGATATTTAGAAAACTTTTGAATTTTGAATCATTTGTGAATTATAGTTCGACCCTCAGGTATTTTGACACCGTATGATCTGGCCCTCTTTGAAAAAGTTTGGACAACCCTACCTTACATTATGCGTATGTTCTTTGAAGTTTAAAAAGGTTTTTCACCACTGGAACAGTACATCGGAGGGTTAGGTGCCTCTATGGCATCACCTAAGAGCCCTTTTTACAACGTTTATTTTGATGAGTGCAGACTTGTGAAATATGGCTTCACATCCAGAACCTACTTTTTGCTGTTGGCCAGTTTTCTGTATTCTCCAACTGTCATGGATTTCTTCTGGATGTTGTACTGGGTGAAAAGACCAGACTGGCCAGTGACCACCTGCATGATGGGGGCTGGAATGACCATCTCCTCGATCGTCTCATAGGATCGTCTGGGCTTCCACTCTTTAGGAGGAATAACCTGGAAAGTACACAGCGAGAAATTAAAAATTAGAAAAAAGGGGAATTTTTTCATCAAGGTACAATCTGTGATATTAACAGTGATGGCCTAATAATCTGTTTTTATAAAGCATCTTACCAAAGCTTTACTAAGATTTGCTGTACAGCAATTTAAAATTAGAGCCCAACAAAGAAGCTCAGGAACATAAACAAATAATGTTGCAAAGAGTAAATCAAAAAGAAAACAAGGGGAAAATGAAACCAATATAGAACAAAACCTAACAATGAAGCAGCCCATGTCATTAGCAGGGGACATGCACCACAGCACTGTCCCCTGCATAGTATTTACACGATTTCACTAATGATTTTTGTACTGCACTTTATATTTTCATTGTTGTTTTAGTATATTTTATTATTTATCTTTACTTCTTCTAATTATGCATCTGTAAATCATCTACGGCAATACTTTTGCTCCTGTTTTGCTCCTTACTGTACTTTGTACTGCTGTTATGGAAGACTTTCCTGCTGGGATTAATGAAGTGATCGATCGATCAATCTATCTATCTATAAAAATACAGCCAACCTGCTGTTTAATGTAAAACTGACACTTTATATTGCAACAATAAAAGTTGCGCTCACAGATACACAAAAAGAAAAAAGATAAGAAAAAAATTGAGTGCATCAGGTAATTATCAAGACTTCTAAAAGATAGGTCAGGTGCGTTAGGTCCCCAGAACTGAAGCTCTAAACGGATGAATCACTGAACTCTCTGTTTATATTAAGTCAGCCAGTTGAGCTTGTTGCAAGACATTCGCAAAGAAGCCCAAAATTCTGCTGTACCACTTTTGTTAAAGGGAAAAAAGCCTCTAATTGGGCGAGAAAGACCAGCATTGCTCACTCAGTGTCAGACATTTACTTTTTTTGAATGGGTAATTTTTTTTTTAACACAATTAAAAAAGTACATATACAACTTTCAGAAATGATCAGTCGCAGGTAACTACAGTGACCTCAGAACAGCAACAGACGTTACGTGTCATCTATGTGGACAGACTAAAGTACAACGTCTCAAATGCTTTTGTACAGAAAACGAAGATGCATAAGGCGCCATTCAAAAACTGCAGGTGTATTTATGACCCAAGCTGAGTTCACTTCTAACGTTTTGCTGCTTTTTCTGTCCAAACAGACCAGGACACCTCTTAAAGTAGAGCTGAGGAGCAGCAGATGCCAGTGCTCTTCTACAGCGCTCATTAAAATACGCAGTCCTGTAGACTCAAACTAAAAGAATGAACTGTTCTTCGTAGTGTCGTGCTGTAAATAAACCAATACGTGCTAAATGGCAGGAAGTCTCAAAAGACTCCTGAACATGCCTCAGTGTGAGCTGGAGAACAACGAACAGAAACGAATTTAAAATATTAATTTAAAATTAAAAGCAGCGCTGCTTTTGCATCAGGTCCTGTCTAAAGCTATGTCGCACCACAACGAACTGACAGAAGCTGCATCGTAATGACCACAGCGTGAGAAACTGCGATCACAAAAAAAGTAACACTTTTTTTTAACTGAGTGACTTCCTTCGAGATCCTGAAATGTTTTTCAACCTTAAAAGCTCTGCTGCCCTTTTCTCAGGATGCCTCTATGAACCAAGACCTTAAAGCACACAGTGGCACAGTCCTATTCAGCCCACGAAATTATTTAAATTTTCTTTTCTTATTAGCCCGTTTCACCCTGAGATGCAGTACAGTTCCCAGCATGCACTGCAACATAGTATGCGTTTTGACAACAACAATTTATGGGCCAGCAGTTACACAAAAAGAAAAGACGCCTGGTGTGCAGTTCAAGCAAATAGGCAGTTTTAAAAAAAAGTGACCTAAAACTATTTATTTTTATTTAGAATTATTTCTGAATGAGTATTCAGTGCCTATTTTGCTGTTGCAGGTTTGGCATATTCTGAATAAACAATGGTCCGTTCGGGTCGTGGCTAAATGTTCAAACAAAATAAAAACACAGCTGGCCCACGGATTTGCTAAGATTTATTAATATGGCCCTTTTAGTGGCTGAGTTTGACACCCCTGCCTTAAAGGATCCATATTATGAAGAGAAAAAAAAAAAAAAAGAATTTCCCTACATTGAAATAACCTTTGAAATAAAAGTCTGATGTAGTGTATAAATATTTTGATGTTTCAAAAGATACCATTCACGTCTCAGTCCATACAGACCACATTCAGGAACCAACTGGAAAAACAATCCATTTTAAATTTACTGTTTCTGTTTCTCATAAACAGTAAATATAATAATAAATATTCAGACAAACAGATTAGCTTCCGTTCCAATTATAAAGAGCGTTTCAGCTCAGCCTGCTTTTTTGAAACAGAGCTTATTTACATATATCGTCTTAAAGTCACAGTAACAAAAACATCCTGTTTAGTTTTAAGGGATAGGATTAGACTAGAGAATAAGCAGAGAGATACTGCTAAGCTAAGAAAGCTTTACAGTAATGATATAAACATCAATATTAAACTCTGAATGCAACAGGAAGATGAGGAAGTGATTATAAACGTTTTATAAGCTTCTCAAAATCTCAAAGGCTCAAAATATCTTTCTTTGCATTGTTCTGTCTTTGTATGGCCTTGTTTATCATCTGTACAATGCTTTATGTTCTTATAGAAGTATATAGAAATAAAAACATTATTATTGTCATTCTTGTTATTATTAGTAGTAGTGTTAATGATTAGTTATAATAATAATAATAATAATAATAGCTATTAATAATAATAATAATAACAACTACAATAAGGCCACAACACTGCACAGCTGAATGCTTTCCTTTCCCTGAAGCACCTGGATTGACTTAAATCACTCAAATCAATTATCGAAAACCCTAAACTCTGCAGTCCGGTGAGCCTCTAACACTGAAGTCTGCGAATCATTTAAATCCTGTAAATGTTTAAATCAAAAGAAACGTGGATACCTTGGCCAAGCCGGTGCGGTGAGCTCCTTGGGACTCCATGTATGTAATATACTTCTCAAAGTCCTGGAATTCCTCCATGGTTGGTCTGAAGGTCATGATCTTGTAGGCCGAGTTTGCAGCCGGTGGAGGCGCGGGGGCTGGAGCAGGATCTGCAGACGCTTCTACAGCTGGTCCCTCAGGCGGCTGCGAGTTTAGCTCTGGAGACTTAGAAGTCGGATTTGGAGCCGGGTCCTGTGGGTCCATGGCTTCATCCGTAGAGTTTTCTACTGACATAGCTGCAGGTAGGCTAATGCTAAAGGCACAAAAACAGATGCAAAAAATGAAATATATGACCTGCAAAACTAGGCCTAGAGTTTCTGAGCATTATGGTTAACCACTATTGTTATTAGGCTTATTATTATTAGTAGTAGTAGATTGCTAATATTGAAATATTGATTGGTAATGCACCAATGCTTACATTTGATCAATAATTTAAGCAGATGTGTTTATTGTATTTTTGAAGAGCAGAATGTTTAGACTAAACATCTTTGTTTTACTGCATTCGCAACCCAATACAAATAAATGGCCCATTTTTCTAGTATAGGTAGTTGTAGCCCAATTTCTATACTTTCTGAATGAGTGTGCATTAATATCAGATATAAATATTTGTGTATTCTTTACTTAATACTATTATTATTATTATTATTATTATTATTATTTAGTCACTTTTTCTTTTCTAATACTGATACAAATATTAAACCATCGGTATCGACCGATGCAGATATCAATGCTTATGTCTTTAAAACTACTATGCCTTAAAATGACCGACCCATTTTTAATTGGCGCACTTGAATTAGAGGAACTCCACCCTTTTTTGAACAAAAATCTGTATAATTTAATCATTAAGACATACACAGTCATTCAGAGTGGTTTGGTGTGAAATGCTCCGTTTTAGAGAATCAGAATCAGAATCGTTTTAGAGAATCAGAACTTTTGATGATAGGAACCAGACATCTGGAGAGTGCCTGTGTAAAGCTCCCTCATAGAAAGTTATGGCATGAAATAGTTATGAATACACTGCCTGATGTTTTATGACAGTTTTGAGAAGGTTCTGGCCTAAAACAATGTTTTGTTTTTTTTTAAATACACTCTTAACGCAGAGCATGCTAAGCGACAACAGCCCCCAGAGAAAACCTAATTTTTTTTTACTCACCACTATTTCACCATGATCATGACCTCTGATTCTTATCACCACCACTTTAAAGACACCAGAGCTGGTGCGTTTCTTTACAATTAACTGTTTCTCATTAAAACACACCACCCCAGAGGTGGTGAACTGTGGTCCAGGAGGTGATTCTCTTACTCTAAAGGCCAGCCCTCCAGCATTAAAGTGCATAGTCTTAGGCTCTTGGCTGTTACTGACCGGTTCATGGCTGTGAGTTTCTCTGCAAAGACTTATTTCAAATCAAACAACCCTGAATGACTTTATTTACATCTCAGTGACAGACTCAAGCAGATATTTTTGAAAAATTGGTGGAGTTCCCCTGTCGGATGAGCATCTAAAAGTAGGCTATGGTGCTAAAACTACTCAATCACTCTACTAAACTACAGAAGGAACTACACAGCTACCAACTTCAAATCAAACACTGTGAGTGTATCATTATTATTATTATTACTACTATTATTATTATTATTAAAGAATCACAATATCGGTCATCAATTTAATGGCTATAGTTTTAAAATGTACCACTCACTCCTCAGCCTATACAGCAGATAAATGGAAACTATGCAGAAAAACAGCCTGTTTTTAATTCTTTGTTTTTGTGATGTCATATATCTGCCTATTCAGCCCACAACAGTGAAGCTATAAGTAGTGTTTCAGCCCAGACTGCATCTTTAATGAGGCACAACATGTTGTTCTATTTACATATATCAGTCTTAAAGGCGCAGTAACAAAAACAGCCTGTTTCGTTTTAAGAGATAAAGAGAGGTTTGAAAATGGTCATGTGAAAATTAATTATGAGTGTTTGGAATGCATAAACCCATACATAAGTGGACCTCAGGGAAAACAATGAAACAGAAAGAAAATACGGGATACTGGCCCTTTAAATTCTAATCTATGGGTCTGTCTGTCTTCACAAAACAGAAGTGCTACTAAACATCAGTGCACAAACCCAGCCATCTAAAGTTTCATGTACAAACTTTACAAATGTGTTCATGATAAAAGACCTAAGCAGACTGAAACACATACACACTTCAATATGTTGCTCTGCTGCCTATGTGGAACTCCCAGCTCACAGCAGGCTGTAGGTTTCTTTCGTTTTCATTTCCATAAAGCCAGTCATGAATGCACCAAGTTATTTGCCTAACTAAATAAAGTAAAGCAGCAAACTGGAACACTGTGGGGAGGAGTGCGTTAATATGAAGTCAGCTGGCTAGTTACTACCTACATTGACAAGCTAGCCATATAGTTAGCAGCTTTAAAGGGGAACTCCACCGATTTCTCAAAATTTCTGCATAATTAAATGGCAAACATGACAACAAAATCATTCCAAGTGGTTTGGTTAATGCTCCATTCTAGAGAGCAGTTCAACACCTCTAATATGTCCCTGAAATGGGTATTAGCCTCTTACCAAGCCATTGGCCCACCGGCAGGTCCAAAGTTTTATTACACACTATAACCTAAGGAGAACTCCACTAGTTTGCACTGAAGTCAGTGTAGTTACTGTATAATAAGCCTTAGTATGTAATAAGTTTAATTTAATCAGTTTATTTAATCCCTTCATAGTGGAAGAAGGGTGGTCTAAGGCAGCGTCTGTCAGGTCTGGTCCTGAAAGCCCACGGCCCTGCACATTTAGTGCTTTCCTTGCTTAAAACAACCTCCTTCAACCCAGAGCTGAGCTGATTAATTGGATCAGGTGTGTTGAGAGCAGGGAACACTAACAAGTGCAGGGCAGTGGGTCTTCAGGCCCACTGTTGACAGACACTGCTCTAAGGCAAAGTAGACCCCAAAGAAAAACATTTATTTCATTATTATTTTTTTATTTTCCTCTATAAAAACTCAAATGGCTATATTTGTGTTGTAGATATCAGGACCCCTGGATCCCCTCACCATCACTGTAAACAAATCAGTCTGTACGTTTCTCTACAAATGAACAATTCCACATCAAACCACTCTGAAAGACTTTGTTTACATCTCAACCACTGAAATATGCGGAAATTTTGAAAAAACCGGTGGAGCTCCCCTTTAAGGGCTTTACTAAATCCTAACACCTGCTAAAGTGAAAATGCTACCGAACATGTTCAAAATGAGCAGAAAACTATGTTAAATATGTTATTTCTACTTTTTCATGCCATTTTCTATGACCATACTCAGCAAAACCGCCTCCTAATCAGGATTAATAACAAGCAGACAGGCAAAAACAAAGGTTGCATGCTAATGCTAAGCTAGCCAAACGGCTACAAAGGCTTTACTTTCTGGTTTTACAGCCACAGAGTTTAAATATAAAAAGTCTCTGCAAGTAAGAACAAACATGTAGACCCCAGCTGTATGTGGGGAAGTGCAAGCGGATCAGCGAAGCTTTAAATGGCCACGAAGCTGAAGTCGGCTTCTTATTCGCCAGCTTCTTTTCCGAATTTCCCCGTTCCACCTTAAATGGCGCAGCAGGCCATTGCGGAACGAGGCGCGAGGATGGAATCGCAGCTCCATTTAAGGTGGAACGGGAGAATTCGGAAAAGAAGCTGGCGAATAGGAAGCCAACTTCAGCCTCGTTAAATGGCCTTTGTGCACGAAGCAAACACCAGCAGCTCTGCTGCTCTTCTGAGCGCAGTACCTTAGAGTTTGATGCGGATTATTAAGGCACCGTCGTGTAAAACCATCTATGTACAGGCAAGTAGGCGAGAATAACGAGTTTGTGCAGCAGATGTGCTGCTTTTTGACATTCTCTCTTCCTGCCTGCTGCCCTCCTCCTCCATACAAAAAAAACTCAGTCAACAACATGTCCGACGACGACTGTCTGCAAATTTCACCACAAAATACAGCACAAATGCAGATGTAAACGGCCGTGCGAGAACGATTTAGCGCTTTTACCTCCTGCGTTTGGATTCTGCCGCTTCTGCAATCCTGTCCTTTCAGGAGTTTCCGTTATTTTCGTTATTTTCAAAAATATTTCAAAAAAAGATCGGTTACAGCTCCATGGCTGAACGCTGAAGGGGGGAAATGTACCGCCCATTGCAGAGCGGCGCGCTGTCTGATTGGTCAGCGCGAACGCGTAAGAATGAAAAGAGCGAGTTCTGATTGGGCGATCAGTGTGATAAATGGCCCGCTGTGCCAATCACATTGCGCGTATGTTGTCTAGCGTAGGCGTCACACGTACGTACGACTGATCACGTCCGTGATGGAGATGAGATTCTTCTGTTGTGGCGATGATGACGATATTTTTTAATTAATTATGACAATCAGATAAAATCATATTTGCTAACACGTCATATATATATATGTAGTATATGTAGCAGTACGCTTGAACACATGAATAACGAGAATATATATATATATAAAATAAAGATAAAAGAAAAATAAAAGAAACACTTAGAAAACAAAAAAAATAAAACAGTAATAATTATTATATTTATTATTATTTAATTATTTTGTATGTAATTTTTTCTTATTATTATAATTATAAATAATTATAAATAATTTTAAGATTTAATTTAAGAATAAGATTACACATTTTAAGTTTGTAACATGAGGAAGACTTATTTATAGATTATTATTATTATTATTATTATTATTATTATTATTACAAATTGACTTTATTTGTTTATCTTGTCATGTACATTTACTGTAGTGAATAATTGTTCTGAATACTGATTGCAATTAAAACAGATCATAATGATGAGTGTGAAACTGATTATTTTGATTCATGATGAAAGGAAATAATTGGATGATGAGGACTGGTTATTATAAAAATGATAATTGACAGTGATGAAGAGGATAAAACAAAAAGTCAAAACAAACTTCTAAACTTGTTCTTTGTGTGGGGATTTCATTGTGCTGTGTATTTACATCAGTTTTGTATTCAGATTCAAATTTAAATTAGTTTTATTGACACGACTGTCTTAAGGACACTGGGCCACATTCTCCAGTATCTTCCTCAGTTTTTTCTTAAATGTGTTCTTGAGGAAGGTCCTAAGAAAAAGTCTCAGAAGTTTCCCCCCTTGGTGCTCGAGTGTGTAGATTCTGTTCTTACCTAAGGTACCTGGGTTTAAGAAGAAATTTCTTTAGAACGTTTGGTGATCGACACCCAACGTTGCTAAGTTCTATAGACTTAAAAGCTGAACAAACCAAATGCAAACATAGATTTAATGATAGTAAAAATGATAATAATCCCCAAGACATAGAAACCATTGTGTTTCTGTTGGTTCCTGATGGTTTTGTAATGTGTTTTTTCTTTTTTATGGATTGATATCACAATGTAAATGGTTTAACAGGTGACCAATGGACGATTCTAAATGCATTCAATGGTTCCCTAATGGGATCCTAAAGGAGTTCTAAAGGAAACTAGTGGTCTCTGTTAAAAAAAACATTGAGTCAATTCCCATTAGAAGATGAAACCATTAGGTTTTAATCTTCATGGTCCTTTTAATTTAATGGTCCTTTCTCAGCAGGGATCATATTAAATAATAATAATAATAATAATAATCATAATCATAATAATCATAATCATAATAGCCATAATAATAATAAAATAATAACAAAGAAATTAAGTAACAAATAAATAAAATAAGACAACATATATTTAAAAAAAATGATAGACAATATATATATTTGACAATATGTATATTCGAATATATATATATTGAGATACAGAGCTATTTAGTAGCGGGTCAGGGTGGTCAGTGGGGCATGTGTCCCTCAGAAAGTGACATCACCTATTTTGTGGCAAGAGCTGCATCCCCTTCACAAGGAAACTGGTCATTTTTCAGTGTTAGAATTTCAAAATTTGGGAGAATGGTTTTCAGTTTGTTATATATGACTCTGCTGGACTGTCTTTTTATCCTTTACAAAATGACCATCACACAATATTTGTCACCAAAAAAAGATGGTTTTACATAAGATCCCGTCTGAAAGGACCACATATCACCTACTTTCACTATTTAGTTTTTCCCTTTAAGTCCACTCATGATGCTTGTTTGGTTTATGCATAAAAAATCTAAATTTATTTCTACAGACATTTTCCATCCTCTCTTTACCCCTTAGAATGAAACAGACTGTTTTCATTATTGTACCTTCCATTTATATTAGATACATTCATAGACAGTATTGAGCCTCATTCAGAAAGCAGTCTGTGTTGAAAAGCTCCTTCACTTCAGTAGCTAAAAAAATTATGAACTGTTTTTGCCCAATAGGCAGATATATGCAAATTCTAATGGTGTGATGATTCACAAAACTGTGCTTTATAGTGGCCCAATCAAAAGTTGTCCCACTCTAATGCTCTAGTCACAAGCCAACATGCCAGTCTGGGTACAATACCACACAATTTGATTAAATGCTGTATTGTTACATCCCTAGTTAATGCATCGGTTTTCTTGACATCACAAAAACAGTGCATTTAAAACAGCTTATTGTCCACATATGAAGTTTGGACCGGAGAGAAAATGGTACATTCTAAAATGTCAATGTTTATACAATACATCAAACTCTTGGTTTGAAAAGAAAGCAAGGAAAACCCAGTTTTCTATTACTAGGACCTTCTATACTCTACAGCAGTGTTTCCCAGTCCTGGTCCTGGAGGCCCACTGTCCTGCACTTGTTAGTGTTGTTCTGCTCCCAGCACACCTGATCCAGTTAATCAGCTCAGTAACAGATCATGACTGAGTTGAAGTGAGTGTGTGTTAAAGCAGGAAAAAGCACCAAAATGTGCAGACCAGTGGGCTTCCAGGACCAGGGCTGATCATCATGCCATCTGTGCACTGGTTTCCTGGTCCAACACCCCATTTTTATCTAATGAAGGGAGAAATGAGCTGAGAAGTCTGTTAAAGCAGGAAAACATGCTAAATGTAAAGGACACAGAAACCACCAGCAGGGTCTGATAAGAGCACTCCGCTCTTAAAATGAAGCTCAACGGTTCTTTAGAAGGGTTCTGTATAGAACCATGAACTTTGCATGGTGAAAATGTTTTTTTCTGGTTGATGAATGTGTTGTGCATTTTTGAGAATGGTTCTGCATAGCACCAAAATGGTTCTGCTATTGTCACCATGTCAAGCTTGTAACAGAAAAACCCTTTTTGGTGCCTTACAGAAACTTTTTGTCACTGTCCTAAGAAAAACAAGCATCTCCAAAACAGTAACTTTGCAGGAGAGGGCAAAAACCTTCTTTACTTTCAATGTAAGTCAATGTAAAGAGACTTTATTTTAAGCAGTTTTGGGGCATTTCTATTGGTCCAATCATCACGAAATTTTTGCACAATGTAAAGGACAATTGTTGAGCTCAAATGATGCAGAAAAGTAAAAATCGCAAAAAATGGAGATACATAATTTTCATTGGACAGTGACGATTTGCAACACAATCCCCATCAACCTGAAGAACCATTTCACCATGCAAATGGTTCTTTGAGTGTTCTATATACAGTCTTCACAGAAGGACCCTTTTAAATATTAGTGTTCCTGCAGCACCGTGCTAGACAGTCAGTTCTCAGCCTCTCTACTCTAACTCACCTGTTCCTAAAGAGCTCATGAAGGAGCCCTTCTTGAGCTGAAGCGGACGGCAACGTCAAAAACCACATACTACGCTAACGAAAGCACAGCTACAGTGTGTGTTTGGACCACAGACTGTTTGGACGCAGCAGGAAAGACACTAAAACAGGGGTGTCGAATTGTGTTCCTTAGCATTTTCTCTCTCCAAGCTCTGAATTCGACTCTCAAAGGCCTTGCTGATTAGCTGACGAGTTGAATCAGGTGTGATTAACGAGGAGAAACACTGAAGTCCGCAGTGACGTGGCCTGGAAGGAATCCAGTTGGACAACCCTGTACTAAAACATGGAGAGCAGGGGGCTTCCGGGACCACTGCAGCAGTCCATCAGCACCGCACAGGTTCATGCTTTTCCTGCTCCATTATACCTGATCCCAGAAAGAGTCGATGCAACAGAGACACACTTCATCTCCTCCAGACACACCTCCTTCATGGCTATGTCCAAAGAGTTAAAAGGGGAATCCCACCAAATTTTCAAAAGTTCTACATAATTAAGATGTTAAGATGTAAACAGAGACATTCAGTGGTTTGGTGTGAAACGCTCTGTTCTAGAGAAACTTGAGTCAGAATTGTTCACAGTCGTGGTGATAGGAACCAGACGTCTGAAAAGTTTCATGGAGAGGCCTCGTTCAGTTATTCTGCTTCTAAATTGTGGAGCTCAACTCCACCTTTTATTAGACAGTCAAGCTCAGTGCTCACTTTTAAGAAGCATCTAAAAACGTATCTCTAACTTAGCATTTAATTAAAACTCTGGTGGTATTTATCTGTTGGTCCATCATTTTCTTACACGATTCTAAATGAACACATTTCTTGTATTACTGTTTAACTTTATCACCTGTCTGTAGGTGAATAAAGATTATTATTACTGTTTGGAGAGGCTTTGGGCCAAAACGTGCTTTTAAAATCCATTTAAGGCTGAAAAGGTACACACAGGACACTGAGGCAAAACAGTTCCAATAGAAAACAGCAAGTTCCACTACAACGAACCTTTACATCAAACCACCAATGAATTTGTTTACATCTGAACCACTGAAGTACACAGGAATTTGAAACCCCAGCCTTTCTGGTTTCCTTGGTTTCGCCTGACCTAGAAGCCACATGCAAATCGGCTCTGCCAATATATTTAGTGAAGCTACAGGTAGAGATGGAGCCTCAGGTGGGCTGCACCTACAATTAGTGTGGACAGTGGACAAATTCAGATGGGGAAAACATCAACATTAGGGTGGGTAAGCATCATAACTACAAGAGAAAAAAAAGTGTGTTCCATATAAAAGGAATAATGTTTATTGAAAAATACCGCACTCAAACAGTGCAAGAAAATAGCACCTACAACTACATAAAATGGCTAAATACAAGTGCTAAAAATATACAATTTCAATTTCAGAATATACACTTCCAGTCTATGCAATATTAGAAATAATTGAGGTATAAACAAAAAAAAAATCCTGCAGCCTTCGGCGTTTATTTAGCAAATATTGTGATAAACTAAGAACAAAAGCTAAGAATTTCACTGAGCATATTTAATAAAAAAAAAATTACAATTTCATTAAATATTTACTGAACAGATGTAGCACCCTGTGGGCATTTGATCCAGAGAGAGATTCAGTTTCCCTCTGAAACCCATTGCAGGAGAGTCAGGGGAGACCAGATTGCATAACGGCCAAAGAAAAATAAAAAACATTCAGTAATAATGAATTACAACGACGTGGAATTTCTAAGCACATACAGTAGTTAGAAAGCAAAGCTAAGACAGTCACACAAGATAAGATTTTATATATATGGCGATACAAATAAAATAGCTGATTAAATTTAGTAAATCACCGATGAAAAGAGGAATAAAACGTTTTAGAGATCTAAACGGAGTCAAAATTGTACTGCTGTTAGACCTAACATTTAGTCATTTAATCATAAACTTTTTTTTGTTTTGTTTTTTTAAAAGGGGTCCTGATGCCAGTGCATACCTACATACCTGCTAACAAAATATGTCCACTTATCCCTGGCAAAGACAGAAGAAGAAAGAAAAGAGAAAAGGATTTTGCTGGAAGCAAATAGTGCAGTTGTGCGTAGCTGAAAGTTTTTCAAAAACGATGTGCTGGTGCAGAGTACAATTAGGGCAGTACGTTTCCTAAAAATGAAGCTCCTACACCTAAAAAACGTCACTAAGATGCTATTATCATATTTACCTGTAAATACAAGGGTTGTACTGGGGGGGTGAGTTGTCTACCTGACTAGAACTGAGAGGCTGAATTAAAAGCAGATCAGATAAGAGTACAGCACCAATAAAATCGGTCCAAACGAATTAACGGCTGGGGCTGCGCATTCTCCTACACCCTGATTAAGTTGTAACGTTTGTTAAAATATATTAAAAGTGAATTCTGCTTCAGTTCTGTTGAATTCAGTCTCGATGCACTGCTCTTATTAGTTCATTGCCGGTCCCTCGCGAGTCATCACCGGCCGCTGCTGTACCCGGGGAAGAGCTGGGTCAGGATGGCTTGAAGGGCCTTGTTCACCGTCATTTGGTAGTTTTTGCCAAGGTCGTGTCGGCAAGCCGGGCAGGTGTACACCTCTGCTTTGAAGGATCGCTGAAGACATTCCTTCAAAATCAAACAGCACACAACTTTAGAGAAATGGATCACTGAATTTGAACACTTACACTCAAATGAAGTAAAACAGTTATATCAGGGTGTCCCACAGGCATCTTCAATTTAAAATTATATAATTTAACACTATAATGCCAATCTAACTGCAATTTAAGAACAAATTTGAGTGAGGATGCCAAATCTTCAAAGTGGCACACCGTTACTGATTGTCCATGTATGCTAGGTGACCGAAAGTGACTTCAGTTTTATGTTCACCCCTGCATTATGCAAGTGACCCTGTATTAATAAATGTGTGTTGTATGATGTCAAATGTTCTAAATAAACAAATAAATAAAATAAAATCCTAAAATCTAAGGCCACATACAATCAAATTTAAGACAATAACATTAAAAGTATAATTTCGGACTACTTAAGACTGAAGAGCCCTGCAGACACCCTGGGGTCACCATCGTTTGCGTCTCAGACTCACCCTGCAGACGTTGTGTTGGCACTCTGTGGTGATGGGCTGATAAACAACTTCTTGGCAGCAGATACACAAGAAAACTTCCTCCACTTTGTTCAAGAATCGCTGCAGAAACACAAAAGCCGGTTAGTGACCAGGATTCAGCCCACTGTACTAGTGCACTTCAAGAGCCAGTGACCGAATCCCTTTCCACCCGATTGCTACCACTTAGCCCTTAGCTCTCCATTTTGCGCGTTCACGTCTATGGGTAGGGTGTCCTGATTTTTGTTGAGATAGAGGGATAGGGTGAAACGGAGGCTTTTCAGAGGCACCCTCCCAAGTGTTATTGGGGGGGCTGCTAGAGGATGCTGGCGAATATCTGACTTCAGCTTCATATCACTGAAGAATTAGGGGTGGGTGATAAATACTTGTCCTCTTTGAAGGCATATGATGCCCTAAATGTAACTAAAGCCCAGCAGTGAGGAGCTGAACTTTACCCTCCTCTGCTGTCACTGCAGACTGGCAGGGTCGCCTACAGAGCAGCGCTAGTAGCTGTTAATGAAGTAATGTTCTTTTTATTTGAGGGTCTCATTTCAGAGGGAAGATTTAAACCACTACGCCTTGTAACTCAGTTCCAAGGGGCAAGATGATGTTCGAAAACAAGGGGTAGGGGTAAAAGTAAGGTCTTTAGTCAGGTGCAGTTTCTGAAAAGCACAGATCTGCATAAAGCATTAAGGCAGATTATGAGTTCAAGGTTGCAAAAGCAACAAAGTGTCCTTACTAAAAATGTATAAACCCTTTTCTTTTTTTAAATTAACAAACAGCAATTTTGTATCATGATCCTGAGGCTTTACGCCTATTTGGCTTTTAACTGTTGCTCTGTTCAAACCCAACTGATCAAAATCTTGGCATTCCTTATTAACATGGTGTAATTTGTAGTGATTCATTTTGATTTTTTCCCTGCAGGGCAGTGTTCCCATACACTCTGGATTTCTTTAGTTTTGGGGCAATGTTTGATCAGACGTTTTTGACAAAATGTCCTCATACTGGCAACAAAGTGTGAGATACAGAAGTTTTTGCGATGTGGAACTGGCTATGAGAACTACATACTGGTCCAAGGCTTAGAGATTGCATGGCTTCGTCCCAGAGTTTCTTGTTGAGCTCATCTTCCTTGATTAAGGCTTTCTGCTCTTTGGTCAGCTTGTAGGCCTCCACTTTGATCTTCTTGGGTGTGTTCTTGGACGGTGAGCGTTTTTCCTCTTCCTCGACTGAAGAAGGCATAACATCAAATTAGATGCAAAGCCAGATTTTAAATTTACAAAATCAATTATAGCAATGCCACAAAACCCACACACACACACACACACACACACACACACACACACCAACCTTAAAGGGGAGGTGGCAAAAAGATTTCTCTGGAAGATGCCACTAAAAACCATTTTTGGTTCTCTTTAACAGCTGATTCCTTATAAAGACCCATTTTTGTACAGATGTGCAAGAGTAAATGGCCTTAAATTGTCAATTTGACTTTAACATTAACAACCAGGCCAAGAACTGTTTAAGAAAAGTGGTGCTTATACTGAAAGGGAGCCATTAAAGTGCTCACTATCCAGTCAGTATGTGCTACTAAAATAGCAGCAATGCCTCTTAATTTACAGTCTTAAGAGGTTTAAGATGTGTGCACTTACCTGTCTGAGATTTTCTCTTCCTCTTGCCCTTCGTAGGTGTTTCAGCTATCTCTTCTTCATTCTTATTCTCCTTTTCCTTCTCCTTAGCTGCCACAGCTTCCAGATAGCCTTCAGGATACTGCAGACAGAGAATAGTTTAACATGGTGTTGCAGAACGAGTGGCTAAAGATGCCCAAGGTGCATCCAAACGGTCACATTCGTGTTCTCTGCAATGTTCATGTTGACAGGTCCCCATAGCAAAAGAGACTCTGGACATTGTTGTTATAAACTACCAAACAAGATAAAATAAGTGAAGACGCATTACCTGCATGGTGAGGCCGAGCTTTTTAATACGTTCTTTGCCATCTCTGGTCCATGGAGCTGGTTCGTCATCGTTTCTTTTGAGCAGGTATCTCCAAACCAGGAAACCAGACTTGCCCTTCTCTGGCCAGTACTTCACCACCTGGAAAATAAAACAGTTTACAGAATTATGGATAGAGACACAGCTGTACACAAACGTTTGCAAGCCCCAGTCAAATGTTTCGAAGGTTGGTTAAATACATCTTCAACAGAGAACACACTTCTGTATGTTTTAAAGCACACTTACTGTTCATTTTAGTTAATATAATCGGTGATATGAATAAATAAAGTAATTGGTCTGTGCAAAAGTTATGGCACAATTTTAGTCTTATTTACACTCAACTCAGCAAATTTACAGAAGTTGTGCACTAAAATTTGTAGAGGAATGATTCAAGTTTGTCCCCTGTAGAGGACATGTAATTTTTTTTAAAATCAACAGAATGTCATTCAATCACGGGTGTTCAGACATACAAGACATATCAGTAACACTTTATTTGGAGTGGTGCTACTTCACTATGTTGATGTGTTACTGATGATCTGTTAAGAGTTGCCTATCGTCTACAAAGCACCACTCCAAATAAAGAGTTACAGATATGTCTTGTATGTCTGTAACTCTTTATTTGGAGTGGTGCTTTGTAGATGATAAGCAACTCTTAACAGATCATCAGTAACACATCAACATAGTGAAGTAGCAGTAGTGAAGCATCTGAATACATCGAAGTAAATATCTTGTAGATGTTCTGTTGATACACCCTGGCCCTAATCCTAACCCTCACGTTTGACATGTTACTGAGAGTCCGTTGAGTGTTTGTTTTGAGTTGTCTTTTTTAGACGAAACAAAGGATGACCGAGCAATTTATATATAAACATTTTAAAAAGGACATTTCAGTACAGAAAGAAATCAAAAACCACAACAGACCATATATTAACCAGGTCCTACTAAAATTAACAACTTCCAACACGTCATGGTTCAATGTTGATTAACACTGATATGGCAGTACAGAAATAGTCAGTGACACACACTGAAGTGTCCATTTTCTCTTTTCCCGCCTGCTCTGTAAACAAAGAACACATTTATAAGCTACGTAGCCCTTTATGCCAACATAATACAAGCAGTCACTCACCTTTGCAGCATCCTAGTAAAGTTAGTACAATGAAACACGCTCCTTGTAATATGCAGCACTCACGTACATCTCTCACCCCCCTCCAACGCCCCCGCTACATGCCGTTACACACTCACCTTGTAAATGCCGTCATATCTGTTGCCATCTTCAGGACAGTATTTGCTGTGCTTTCGACCCTTGGAGCTTCGCACCACTCTTACAGGTTTTCCCGCCTTCCAGTCTTTGGCCTCTGCCCCATCCTTCTCGTTCACCGGTGCGTTGCAGTTCAAAGCCAGCGCCCTGCAACACCAATCCAGTAACGAGACAATCAGAATGGCAGCAGCAGTTAAAGGAATACTCAATCTAACCTCCTTGTATTGTACTACTTTTTGACTCCTTACATTTCCATCCTATTATTTTAGGTAAAAACATTTTCTCTTGAACATTTGTTGTTGTGGACTTGTCTGGTCCGTTTAGTGCACTACAGTTCATGCGTGTCTGCACCAAGAAAGATATTCCCTAGATGTGTGTCACACTTAACTCTGTCCCTCTCATCTGTAGCATACAGCCAATTCAGCTGTTTCAGCATCTGCCCCCAGGCTTCCATTACAAGTATTTTAAGTCAGCAGCTTTACTGGTTTTTATTACCAAGTAATCAGGATAATTAACTGTGCTAGAGTGCCAGCACTTAGACATTAGAACAATACTGGGGTATTCCTTTAAAGAGGCTGTTTGGCAACATCAAAACCAGAAAACTGCCTGAGCTAGAGTGAAGAACCAAATGGAAAGTTATTTATTCATTTATTTATTTATTTTAAAATAAAAGATAAGCTCAGCAGCACTTAAACTACAGCGAGATTCACTTGAAAGAGGCCCCAAACGTTCTGTAGTAACTCTCGCTAGGATGAAGCAATCTGAACGAAACAACATGCAACATGCTCCTCAGTATACAGAGCTTCGAACAAGCCAGGATGCCCCTGCATCAGAGCGATGGAGGTAGGCGCCAGACAGCCGTCGCGACGTTTAACCTCTCTAATGCTTGCCTATACGTTCAGGAACATGGAGCGCCGCAACAAAATGTGTCTGCCAAAAGATGGAGATCACTTCCAGCGTTGCATGTAATGCAATCGATTACACATCAAGGTATGTAGTGTATTTTGTTGGTTCAGATTGCTTCGTCCTAACGGGAGTTACAACAGAATATTCGGGGCCTCTTTAGATTAAATCTCCCTGTATTATAATAAGCAAAAAACAGTTATATCATCAGTTTGGGCCAGAAAAAGCTAAATGCAGCTAATGAAAATACTAGTAAAAATTTGTGGGACCACTTTGAAACCTTAAACCTAAAATAAAAATAGAAACACGCCCACACCAAATAAACTAGCTCACTTCTACTGCTAGTTTTGCAATCACTCTCTCAGAGTAGAAAATCTTTATGGGTTCATGTACAAAAAAGGCACTTTGCAAAACACACAAAAACTTAGAACCCTCACAAGTGATTTAATCTCAGTAGCAGTAAACTTACAAATTAATCAGTTTCAGTCGAGAGAAACGGTTGTCTATGGAAAGGAAGACAGAAGCAAAGTGGTGGCTGTGTTTCACAGCTATTTAGTACGTTTATAAGTTAATTCATATCGATTTATTACATTTATAAAGTTATACAGGCCACATTTTTCGCCCTTTGTCCGCAGTAATTCCCAACACTGCCCTCCTTGTGAACCACTTCAGTATTTTAACCCTTACATGTACAAATTTAAAGTGCCTACAGGCTGTTTATTAGCTGTTACTGACCTGTTCATGTTGGTGAGTTTCTGATCACAGGACTGCTCGGCTGTTCTCTTGTTACCAGACAGATCTCGACCGCCGGAGCCTGTGTATGTGAACTCATTGCCATCATCCTGAAATGCATTAACGGTGTAGGAAATCACTTATTAAAAGTAGTAACCAAACAACTGTATGTTCATTTCAAGCATTATATGCGTAAATGGACACGAGTGAAATCTAAAGCAGCAGAGAGACACAACCTTCCCCTGTATGCAAAACATTTATTAACATCACGAATAATAACAGCAGCATACCACATCATCCTCATAGCCTCCAGCCAGCACTAGAGAGTAGGCACCATCATTGCTTCTTCCATGGATACCGGCTACATGTGGCCTGTGAACTCCAGATTCGCTCACCTGTTGTGTGACAAAAATCGGTTATTTGTTATTAAATGTAGACCGAAAGAAGAAAACAATCCTTAATTATGTATTATGCTGCACTAATACAAGGAACCAACAGCTCACCTGCACTCTAAACTTCCACAGCGTACCCACAGGCACTCCTGGCACAGGCCCATAGTGGTTGGAGGGAACGATGGTGCACTGTTTGGTGCGCCCAACACAGGCCATACCCTGAACAGACAGACAGAGCAGAGGAACCCGGGGATTAAAAGGAGTGTCGAGTCAAATAAAGCCACCATGAGAACGCAACATTGCAGGTAGCACTGTGGCTGTTAGCCATGTGTCCGCAGCTGTAAAATGAGAAAGCTACCACAAATTCCATTTCTGAATACATACCTTCCCCCAGTCTCTCTGACTAGACGAGCTGGCAGATGCCATCTTTGCTTTCTTCTTGCTCTCTTTCAGCTTCTCTCCTGCCAGGACGACCTCGCTCGCATCATTTCGGCACTCTGGGCAGTACCTGTGCGAGGGAGAAACTTATATTACGTACTTACAGATCGAATGACAGCCTCTCTAAATCCTCCCATTTCTGGTTGAACCTAAATGACATTGCCCATGTTCACCAATACTGTTGCCCTCAGTTTTAAAGGAACGATTCACAGAAAAGTTAGACTGAACAACAAAGTTTGCAAACAGCAACAAACCAAAACCTCTCCTGCCTCCAAGTTCTAGTACGTTGTAACACAAGGTGATTCAAAAAGATTCATCCGATTTCAAAATGATTTATTTGACTTGTACATCATTACAGAACAATGCAGTGAACTGTAAATGGTTTAAATGAGCATAAAGTTTATTATGTAATTGTACAAGGTCTCAGTATGAACCTCCTCCAGCTGTACGGACAACATCAACGCCATAGTCAAATTCATCCCATACTCGGTTGAGCATGTCGGTGTCGCTGCACTCACGGCTCTTTGTGTGATTTCGGAGATCATCCAGTGTTGCGGAACCAACAACGAATGCTCTGAGCTGTTGGAGCTTCACTGATGCCGACACTTTCTGCTCAGGGGTCGCATCTCCTCTCAGACTGAAGGGAGCCATCTTCCGGTGACAGTAAGAAACTCTATGACCCCCTCTTTCAATTGGTATGTGATTGGTTCCTAGGCGCCTCATGGTTGTAAAAATATGGCGCTTTGAAATCGGATTAATCTTTTTGAACCACCCAGTATAATTAACATTTTTCTGGAATTTTGTTCAAAACATGAGAACACCGAATCGGACACCCAGTTTCGTGTAGAGTGTACTGTTACACCCTACCAATCAGCTATTTGGTGCGGAAAGAAGTTCTGTGGTTTGGCACTGGAGCTATGAGGCTGATAATAGATATCTCAGACATAAGACTTCCTTACTTTTTAGTTACATAGGCCTTGGAGTTCCAGTGCAAAACTAAAGAAGCAAACTTTGGCCAAAACAACTTTGTCTAATCAGCTATGTTTGGCATAAAGACAAAACTTTTTTCCCCAGTTGATTATTTCTTTAAATGCCATTAAATGCCGATTGCTTTTGGACTGTGTGGTTGGAACTAACTGTTGCATAACTATGGTTTAAACTCCAGTCTTGGGGACCCACTGCCCTGCAGGTTTTCAGGTATTCTCTGCCCTCAACACACCTGACACAGCAATTAACTGGAGCCTCACAAGGCAGGATTTATGGATTAGCCAGCTAATTATAAACTTGGTTTGATCTAAACCTGGATTTTCAGTCTCAATGGATGATTTTTTCCCAGGATACACTGCCACGGTAACTTCTACTACACACCTAACCAGTTCCAGGGCAGGTTAAGTTCAGGACTTCACAACAAAAAGCTCTTGGACCAAATAGGGAGCAATTTGTAGCACTGATCATAAGAAGCATCTCATTTTTAATCAGAGGAAGCAAATCATACAACATATCCTAACAATACTGAGCAATTATTACTTCAATACAAACCAACACTAACAGCTTTGCTCTTTACTCATATAAATGCTTTACATTCTACATGTTTACGTAGATTTCCTTTTCCTTCTCCTATAAAAAAAAACGTATAAAATAAATAAATAACAAATAAATTATATTTATTTTATTTTATTAATATATTATTTTATTATTAATATAATAAAAAAAAACTAATAAAAAATAATAATAAAAAATAAAACTCAACCCCATGCTTCACTTGATTGGATGTTCATCATAAAGCCTGTAGGGATTAATGATAGCTTCGGTATCTAAACCTGGGCTGTTAGTCTTCAAAACCGAGATAACAGCTGTTCTCTTCATCAGACTTTGTGAAGCTGACACTTAAGTTGGGAACCCTGTCTCTGTTGAACTTGCTTTGTAACACTGTGTGATAGTTGTTGAAACAGTGCAGGGCAGGTTCTCAAGACTGGAGTTGGAAAAACATTAGTATATCTTAAATTAATTTCAATTCTGGCAAGAACCACTAACAAATCCTAATTAATTAACCAATAAATCTCACCAGTCCTCATCATCTGGGATGGTGGTGAGGGGAGGATTGAGGCAGTAAGTGTGGAAGGCCATATCACACTCATCACACAGTAGCTGCTTGTCCGGATCCTGCTTCACTCCACAGATGTGGCAGTTACACCAGCGACAGTTCTTCTTCGGGTCATCTTTGCAATGCTTACACTCCGGGCCGTTGGACCCTGAACACAGACACAGAATAATGGCATTTGAATACATTTAGAGCTGCAGAGAATCACTGAGTCAGTGATTAATGCTTAAAACATCTGTATTCAAGGGTTCAACATTTCTCAAGGCATTTGGGTTCCTGGGATGTATGTATCAAATATGTATGACATTTATTGATTTCATAGAAATGCAGTATTAGGCAAAATCATGAATCAGTGATCACTATGCCTAATAATGAGTGTTATGTGCACTGGAGATCCCTAAAGACTGTGGCAGCTACATGACACTTCCTTGTTTCAACAGCATAAGCCTGTAACAATTCATTAGCAAAATGGTAGCCTTAAGTGATAATACATGTAAAGCAGGCTGGTAGTATAGTGGATTAGACCATCACCCTGCATACAGGACACCAGGGTTCAACTCCCTACTTACAGAGCAACACAGACAAGACTCCTAACGCTGCATTTGTTTACCATATTAAGCTGATCTGAATAAGAGCACATGTAATGAGAGATGGGGAATGTAAAGCTTTAGCACCCAACAAACATAAGCCTGATTTAGTCTATAGTGATTTAACTGTATTTTAGTTCTTATACCACGTCAGGCTCCTATCCTCATTGGCCAAACCACTGCAGACTGCATCATTAAGACACACCTAATTCAGCTCATCAGCTAATTAGCAAGGCCTTCATGACCTGAATTCAGAGTGGTAGAGGAGGTAAATGCTAATCTCCACAGCACTTTGGCCCGGAAGGTCCCCAGTTTGACATGGCTGTCTTATACCACTGAACACTTTGAATCTATTAAAACATAATTTGCTTAGTTTCGTTTTATTTACGGCTGTTTAGTCCAAATAATTGCTCTTCCTATTTAAAGCATTTCAGTAAGAATGCATGAAAAGAGAGATTCATATTAAACCATATCTCCCAGAGATACTGAAGACAGCTTAAAAAGCCAGAAAGCATAAATGAACTCTGGATTAAACACTTTGTACATGCCAAAAATACAAGTACAGGACCAACATCAAACGTATCATGCCCTTTTTAAAACACTAAGATCTCAGGTCATTGTGAAAATTTAATTTGGATTGAAGATAACCGCTACAGTTATTAACTAACAAAATAGGAACATTTGGACTCAATCACATCCCTTCAAAATATCAAAAATAACAAACCTATGCACATTAATTTTTTTCCCCTCCCACCTGGACTGAACAATCTATATGGAACCAGGTCACGTGAGATCACCTGAACACATCCAATGTGAATAAATTCAGCAACACTAAAATTCTCCAGAATACTCTGAAATACTCACTCTTCAGAGGGCTGTCAGAAGCAGCCGCAGATCCATCAGAGTTCCCAGGCTCCTCGATCTTGTAGATCTCATTAACGAACATGATCCGGCAGTCATTGAGAGAGTCACCGGCATCCCTACAGTACAGTCATCATCAGCATGAGCAACATGTACCCAATATGAATTAAGAGCTTCCTTAGTGATCTTCAGTTGAACTGTTTGTAATTTGTTGTCTAACAAACCCAACACACTGTGCAATTTAGCATTTGCCCCATTGTGACTAATAAGCCAACTTATAACTTAATCACGCAGGGAAAATTTGTCAAAAGACTGAGCATTCAGACAAGATAAGATCAAATTTTGTTCAACAAAAGCAGACATTAGACTAAGAGGTTGATCTGGCAAAAACAAATAATCGAAAAAAATTCATGATTTAATTTTTTTTATCTGCAAAAACAATAGCATCAGAATTTTTTTTTTAAATTTTATGTTTGAAGATCAATTTAAACTGCTGTTTAAAACCAAAACATGAATTAATTATATTATTCAGCAAACATCCAATCAGCTACTCGGCTATTGTGCAGTTACTACATCCTGGTTGTTTTTACAAGCTCTCTATAATTGGTAGAAGTACAGATCGTACCAATCAGATTAAAAAAACAAAGATTTAGTGCAATACTTTAGCATATGCCCTACACTAAAATGCACACCTAGGTTGGTAGAAGAAATCCTAGCAGATCTCTTAAGTTTACATTAAATACATTCAACGATAAACAGCTCTGCCTACCCGAGTAGTATTTTGCCAAAAATCTCTCGCTGGGTGCGCGTCTCTCTCTTCCTCTGGATCTGGGCATCGTACCAGTAGCCCCGCTCTTTAGGCTCATCTGGGTTGTAGTTCACCATGACGATCATACCCTGCTCCAGCTGGTGCCACTGGTACACGGTGCGGGCTCGAGGACGCACGTCCTTAGCCGTCAACTGCACCACTCCATTCTCTGGGTAACTGAAGAAAACAGAAAAAAAATATATATATTATTTAAGAAGTCTCAGTGAGACAAAGCCACAAAACAATGATGGCTGAAATGCTGCTCAAGTGCAGCATAAAATGCATAAAACTAGCTTCCTTAAAATGTCTGATCTCTGCAATTTCCTATTTCGAATCACTTCAACTTTTTACGCTTGGTATTTTACTATATTTTGAAGTGCCTATATTCTACATTTGTTAAAATCATTCTTACATCATCAATTTTCAATCTGTGTTTATCCTTTAGATGTAAACACACTGTTGCCACACCTTTAAGACTGACTGTCGCTGTTCAAAAAATAAATAAATAAATAAAATAAAATAAATAAATAAATAAATAAATAAATAAATAAAAACCAAGTACCTCCATCTTTTGGTTTTCTGCATAATTTGAGCTCAACATCCGTCCTTTACAGTGTGAAATGAATGAATTTCATGATGAACTGACCAACAGAACTGGCCATATATGCTTTGAATAAAATCTCTAACTTACTTTCAAAAAGATTTTTTTGCCTTCTCCTGTAACCTCACCATGTTGGAGATGCTTGTTTTTCCTTAGACAGTGACCGTATGTAAATATCATCTGTTCTAACTGACTTCTACATCGTGTCTAATGTTTACATACTGTATCCAACTCCTATCTCCAAAAAATGAGAAATTTAGTCTTGCATTATCCTTCTGCTACTAAAATGTTATTTTATTACACAGAGCCCATTACTGAGTCAAATCAGTTTGTGTATGACATAAGTACAGCTGTGTTAAAACATTAACAAAATTTAAAAAAGAAAAAATAAAAAAAATAAAAAATCACTTGAAAATGTGCAGACACTCCTGATGTACTGAGAAAGCCCTAGGCAAGACTGCAAAACAAATACACATTCTATATCTAAAGACATACAGCCATTTTAAACTTAATCTGAACGTTACTCAGGAAACCTCTATGCTGCAATTAGACCTAAACATTGATTTCGCAAAGTTTCGCAAGCTTAACCTGAATATGTAATCTCAGGCTTTAGTGTACAACAGTGTACCCAAGTACAAACAAACTTCAGCACGTACACTGTGTCACACATTCAACACTATTATAAAATTAACAGAATAAGCTCACTCTTCATATTTGATGTGGTAGCGAATCTCCTCCTCGCCATCGGTTTCCATGCCTCCTTCTTCGTTGCTTTTTGGAGTCTTTGTGACATTCATGATCTGAGCCTCAAACCAAGCCCCCATGTTCAAGTCCCGAGCATCCACAAACTCATTTATCTGTGAGAAACACAATATTAATAGCAATGTTAGGAAAACCCACAAAAATGATCACAAGACTTGTTTGCCTACTCCTACAGTAAAATTTGACATTTAAAATGTAACTTTGTCCATGTGCTGTTACTAAAAAACACCATGTCCCTCAACAATGAGACAAAGGACAGCTCATGTGCAGCAGAAAACAGTATAGCAATCAAAATTTAAAGATTGAGCAAGAACTTGAACACACTTATACTAACACATTAGTATATCTGGATATCAGGGAGTAAATAAACAGACCAGCAGTTCTGTTAAAGCACATAATGTTTTAATTAACCTTCCAAGTTAGACAACAATGTACCATTAGTGTTATGAATAAATCTATTGTGGACATTCAATATTTCAAGTCCTTGTTTCCCTTTTCTATTTTCCATGAGCCTCCAAACAGAGGAAAGTTTAAATGCAGTGGAAAAATTTTTGGACATCAGCAAAAGGTTCCTCCCTGTGGTTAACTGCATAATCGATCATTGAATTTACTTAGCGTTTTATTGAGTAAGAATTAATCTATAACTGCAATGACCTGGACACAAACATCAAAATTAAGTACAACCGCTGAGTAGGCAGACCAAAAAGAAGCCACACAGTAAGGCTCACCTTATAAAACCCAAAGCCAGGATCAACGAGATCCACCTGAGCAGAGGTTCCGGCGCTCTGGCCTTCGCATTCTCCGTGAGTGGAGCTCTTATCCGACTCGCTCTGACCAGAACCACAACCGGAGTCTGAGTCCGACAGCTCTCCCTCCTTGTCCTTAGGCAGAGACACGGTGGGCAGAGCCTGCCGCACGAGCAGCTGAACGATGTCATTCAGTCCCACGTTGTAGTCGAAAATGGTGTGGCCATCTTCCATCTGCAACAAAAAAAACAAATCAACTCACACTGGTTCACTTCTTAACTCATTCATTATTAGGGGCGCAACAATACATTTTCAAGTTCAATACGATTTCTAACTCCGAGGTTAAGATTCAATTTTCAATATTTGTGTATTACAGCAGCCCGATTTGGGGAAGATTTGGGGATTTGGAGACCTCTCTGGTGGAACTTTGTCATTGCACTCAACACGCAGTAGAACACTTTGTAATACGGGTTTGTGCCTCAGAGCCTTTCCGTACACAACAAAACTTGGTGAACATCTACCAAAGACCTGAGAAAATGATCTACTATGACAGTATAAAATTGATTGTGACACTAAAACATAGAACGTACGAGGTGGTCCGAAAAAGTCCTGCAAAATACAACAACACCTGACGTCCTATTAACAGAAAGAAGAAATTAAAAATAAAGGAAATGAAAAAACAATGCATAGCACCAAATTTCAAATATCTTGATTCTATAGGGCTACAGATTACTGATTACACGTACAGGTTACAAGGTACAGATTACCTTGGTACAGATTACCTTAGCTCAGATAAATAACAGTTTTCTAAGAGAAACGTTTTAGCACCTTCCATGCTGCCGTCTAATACAATATACCCCAAAAACCACAACCTCTAGAATTCATAAGCAACTTCGTGGAAGAAGAAGGGAGGAGGGGGGTGGGGGTGGGGGGGGCTGTTCACCACTGGCCTGCATTTTAGTGTTTTTTGTTTGTTTTGTTTTTTTCCCCTCTTTAAAACCACTGTCCTATGCTTTGTACTGTTTACAATATGATACACTGAAAAAAGAACAGTTAGAAAGCTTTATTATGCTGCATTTGCATAATGACAAAGTCTAATTAAATTGAGAAAGCCCAGTCATTTGCTCCAGGGCGCGAAGAAAAAGCCCCGCCCCCTCCTCAACCACTGTTCTGACACGCTGCGCCCACATGCCTACTTTAGTGGAAACCACTGTCAGTCATAAAGTCGCCAACTGCTCGGTAGATAACGATAGTTTCATTTTGATATGCCGTTTTAGAGGTACATTCTTTTGAATTCTTTCTTGAAACTGAAACAATCTTATGTACTATTGGCTACAAGCATGATGTATAGGGAATTAGGGACTGGAGGACGGTCACACAATGACAGGAAAAACTTACTGTTGAAGTTCCAGCTTTCGAATACAGTTTAAGTTTCAACTTTAAAGAGAGAAAGAATTGCTCAACTAAGGAAAAGCTCCAATACGGTGGTAGTTAAAACTACTTTAAGTACTCAAAGAAACAAAAATAGAAGTGATCCATCACACACTGCCCATAAAACTATACTGCCCTATAATAACCACATAGGTGTACACACAGTTAGTTGAAGTAAGTCAAACTCAAAAACTGTCAAATTTCACAAACACAAGGAACGACACTTGACCCCCGGCGTATTCACAGACATCACGATACACCCTTATATTCTGACAAACCTGTTTGCCTCTGTAGAACAGCCTCTGCCTCTCGGGTTCCACATGGAACAGCTCCATGATCTTCACCCTCAGGTCGTCCACCTTGGTTAGCTTGGACAAGGAGTCGACCCGGTGGGTCTCCTTGCCGTCCATTGTGCGCACCTGAATCCACATCGTAGCAGCTCTACAACAAAAGGAGGAAGGGAAAGTCAGGTAATAGAAATTCTCCAGTTTATCAAATACTAAATATGCATACAAACTGAACTTAAATTCACACATTATATAGGTTCTGAGGCAAGAAAGAAAAGGTAATGGTTCTTTTTAGAACCCAGAGTTCATCCGACTGATGGAGAATGTGTTGTTTGTTTCTACATAGACCCTTTAAAAAAATTATACATGGCATATATATAGCATATATAGCACCAAAAATGATTCTGCTTTTGTTATGATATCAAGCTTGTAAAAGTATAGGAGCCCTTTTTGGTGCTCTAGAGAACCAGAGTACCATATACATGAGGTTCTGAAGAAATTTCACCACTGCAATGAACCATTTAAGCATGCAGAAGGTTCTTTAAGTGTTCATGGTTCTATACAGAACAAAAACATTAAGAGTGTTGATGCACAACAAATTCAGCTGGGCAGAAAGTTGACTGCACAGGTAAACAAGCTTTGTTGACACCTCTTCTCAGCCAAGCCCCTGCTGTGTGTGCGGAAATGCGGACAAGCGCCCCCCTTCGGCTTCCAGAGGTATTGCAGAAGCGAAAACAGCCTCACCAGATAAATGTCTGGTCCAAGACCAGGAGAAGCCGGACATGTTAACCTCCTGATAGCAATATAGTTATTTTACTTTACACTAGCTAGCATGTATACAACACCACGACGCTAATGCAAATAACGTTATAACCTACGTTATAACGAGTCTGAAGCTGGCCAGCTCCTTTTTTTCCAAATTTTCCTGTTCCACCTTAAATGGTGCATATGTTACATTCTTGAGGCGCCAGAACGAAACTGCTGCACCATTTAAGGTGGAACGGGAAATCCGAACAAGCTGGCGAATAGGAAGCCAAGTTCAGACTCGTTAAAGTATTTGTAAATTAAAATATTGCTTTCTGTACGAAAATTGTCTTTGTTGTTTGGTCATTGTTCACCAAAAACAGCACCATGGCCTAGCTCAACCGCGGAAAAATAAAGCTTAACGTTAAATCGCTAACAGTTACTGGCTGGAAAAGTGGGGACTCTGGCTTTGTGACTACAGCTCCTCCTCCCAAGTTAAAGCGCGCTAATCATTTCCCCCTCAACTTACTATCAAGAGCGGAGAGCTGAGTCCCCCAGCCCTGACCTGACAGACGCCTTTTCAGCGCTTCGTGTGAAATAAACAAGCCATTGTTTTTCAATAAGCACACAGGTAACCCTACGTTTGATAGATGCCACAGTGACGCCCCACACCACGCCAAGCCAGCTGGAAGGCTGACATTAGCCTCACTGAGGAGGACAAAAACATGCTGTTTGTGAAAGAAAGCGTACATTTAACAGACACGGGGGAAGAAAAGAAACTAAGAAGCAACAAGATAGTTCATTTGAGCATCAGCTAAATCTCATAAACAGCACTTCAGCGAGGGAAAGAAAGGAGAAAACGGGCGAGAAAGTTAACGTTAACACCAACAGTCAGCTTCAGAGACCGCTCCTTTAAATATCGCCAAAGTAATACGGGATAGTTAACCTTACCTCTTTTTTTGCGTCCTCTCGAAAACCGGGGGAAAAAAAGTGGATTTAATTCAATAAAAATCTGCCTGGAGTGGAGAGCCTGCTCCTCATAACCTCCTATCCATAAACGATTCACTACTCGAATCAATAAAATCGTTCAACAACGTGTTTCCCCTCCTCAATGGCGTGCAGATCGCGCTCTCATTGGCTCCCTGGAGTTCAAATCTGCGTGCTGATTGGCCCGGACGCCCGTCAATCAAGCGTCTGACCGGAGCTTAGCCTCAGCGCGCGAAATCGAGGTCTCGTGTTAGCGCACGCTTACGTTACAGCTTCCCGCGAGAGTATGCTAATGGATTTTTGGCACACACGGGTGGTGTTTAAAGAGCAGCGAAACGGCGCGGCTTTGTCTGTTTTTGCGTTTCGTTTTCGCTTCCAACGCAACATAAACATTATAAAAGGGCCAGACGACGCATTTTATGGCGTTTAAAGTTGAGAATTTCTAAATACTGGCCGGGTGCAGCCGGCCAACCAACGAACCCGCCACCAACTGCCGCGGGACGCAGTGAAGTGGCGGCGCGTGCTTTGTAGTGATTGGCGGGAAGAAGTGTCACGCGCACATTCTGAGGAGTTGTGGAGTTGTGAAGTCGTCGAGGCCAACAGAGCCTCATAAAGAACCACAGCAATGGCGGCCTACGTTATTAACACCTTAGTCACGACAGAAACGTTCGCCTTCACCTTAAACGTGGCTCCAAACTAGCATTTAACGCGAAGCCGTCTGCCTTTTGTGGTTGAACGGGCCTTCGAGAATGAGCGGATGGTGAAGGCCTAGCAGGCAGAGCAGAACGTACACATATTCCTGTTAAACAATACACGTATAGACCACATATTACACATAATTTCAATAAACTATCACGTTTATGCGCTAAATACTGTAAGATTTGTCCACCCGTGACCTCAAAATCTCGAAACTTGAGTATTTGTGGACCGTTTAAGGCATTTATCTCAAAGGCGAATTTCTAATATGAATGTATAGCAGAGGCTGTTAACAGTTCCCTTAAACCATTACGTTTATATGCTGAAGAGTAAGATTTGGCTACTCCTGACCTCAAAAAATTGAAATTTCATATGTTTACATACTATTGAAGGCGTTTGTTTCAAAAAAGCAGCACATATGCAAATTCCTATGTTAGACAGCACAAACATACAGAAAATGATAACATTTTCATTGAGCCATTAAGTGATTAAGCCAAACAGCAAGTATTTGTGGACCGTTTAGGGCCTTTATTTCAAAGGCAAAGCTACGCACATGCAACTTGCCATGTTAAACGGCACGATATACAAGTATACCACTTGTTGACACTTTTGTTCACAATATTCAGTTTACACAGCCATATTTGACCTTAAATGAATAGAATTTTTTGTCATATTTACAGATGATTTGGGCCTTTATGTCAACGGCTTCAGTATCCTCAAGTTGTTAGAGTACAATAAATTTAACGAACATTTTAAATGTACATATATATATATATTTCTGTTCCACTACCCCCCTTCAGTTAGTAGCCTATCCTACCTCCTTCAGCCTGCTGGACCCTAGTAATGCCCTCTTTTTCTCCTATCTACCCACCACAGCCTGTTGTACCCTACCTCACTAGTAACCTCAGTTTATCGACCACAGTGTGTTGTATTGCTTTCTTTATTGATTGACTGGCGTCTGTTCACTATTCCTAGTCAGCTCCATGAGCCTGAAAACAGTCATAGAAACCATGTTTTCTGTTCTCTAACAATATAAAATGGCTAGTAATGGTAATTTGTGTGTTCCAGATAGGTTCATATCAGGGTCCTAATGGTTTAACGGCAGCCTATGACCCTTCTAGACACATTTGATGGATTTCTAATGGGTACTAAGGATGTTCTAGAGCAGGGGTGTCAAACTCAACCACTAAAAGGGCCAGATTAAAAGATCTCAACAAACCTGTGGGCCATAGATCGCCTATGTTTCATTTCATTTTTAATTAATGTTGTGCTATAACCCAAACTGGCCATTGTTTATTCAAAATACATAAAACTTCAGCAGTAAAATGGGCAAATGTAGTAGACCTAGTTCAGTCTTTGAAACCTACCTATCTGCTCGAACTAGACCCCTGCCATCCTTTCTTTGCTGCAAGTTCATTAACACTTGGGCTCAGTTTCTGAGCTGCTGATCTGACACTAGGTGTTCATATTGGTTGAACTGCAGCTGAAATGCAGCTTGAGTATTTGGTGACATGACTGGTCTGGAATTTCATAGAGTTGTGCAGGATTGAGCTGTAACTGCTGTCAGAGCTTGTTTATGTGGAGCCTGGCCACTTCCTATTTCCCCCGTTATATCAAAAACATGACTGCAAAACAGCAGAGGGTGCCCACGAGTGAGTCCTCAATGAATGGGGATAAATGGAGCTAAAGGCTAAAAACAAAAAGTTAAAATAGCTTCTAATCACTCGCCCAGAACTTTCCTTTAATTTTAGAAAGTAGAAGGATGTATTTCACTAAAAAAGCAAAGAAATCTTACCCGTCTGTTTCCTTTTTTCTACAGCAAACAGGTTTTTGGGCAGCAGGGCGCCAACATTACCGCTACTGAGTGCTGATTGGTTGGCGATCAGAGCAGCTCATTGGCTGTTCGCGCTCACTGACGTCATGAACGTACATGAGACGCCGTTTTAAACTCCCACAACTCGAGTTTAAAAGCTCTTAAAAATATAACAGCAGTGTTAAAAACTTTATGCTATTCTGTGTTCAGGAAATGATTGAATTCATTCTTTTATCTTAAAAATGTTTAATCATTTATAAACTATGATTTTGCTCAAATGCTCCATCTTAACCCATTCATTTTGGACTCGCTCAGGAGTGCCCTCTAGTGGTTCAGAAACCCAGAAAGACATTACAGAGTGGTAATTCCCCTCTCCACAAGTTCTCTGCCGCTGTCCTATAGATAGCTTTTAGGGTAGGAGAGTTGGAGAGCACATTACGTTGCACTGCATGCTGGGGACTGTAGTACAGCGCATTGTGAAACAGGCTAATATTAATAGAAAATTAAAATACTTTTGATCTGGCCTTGTGTTTGACACATGGGTCCTAGAGGGAACTAGTGGTCAATATTTACCATTAAGCCAATTCATATTAGGAATCAAAACCAACAGGTCTTAATCCTAATAATGCTTGGCCTTTTCAGCAGGTCAGTGCTTTTCTATTTTCATCAAACACAACAAGTAAAATAGTAACACTATAAGAAACTATATTTCTTTAACGATATCATATACCTGTATTTTCACTGTTTATGATATAACTGAAACATTGTCTAGTGATCTATAATACTTACGTAGTACCCTGTAGTAAACTGAAGTAATTGTCTGGATTATATAAGATGCTTACAGTAAGTTAAGGTCCTGGAGATCTACCTTTCTGTGGAGTCTAGTTCCAACCACAATCTGCCTCACCTGCTCCAGTAGGAAGTTCTTGATTGGCTGGATTTGATGCACTGAAGTTAGCTAAGAGGGAAGGCAGCATATTAGATAAAGGCTGGAACTAAACTCTGTAGTAAAGGACTCCAGGAGGAGGGTTGGTGACCACTGCTGTAGGTCCTTCTCATATGGGTAAGAGGCCACTGTTTCTTTCTTTGCCGATGCTGCAAAGACGGAACCACAGACTCATTTCTCTGTGCACAAAAATTAATAAAGAAATATAATATCACATTTACACTGATCAGCTATTAAAACCACATCTTTGTATCTACACTCATAGTCCATCTTATCAGCTCCACTGACCACATAGGAGCACTTTGTAGTTCTACAGTTACAGACTGTACTTCATCTGTTTCTCTGTATACTTTGTTACCCTGTTCTTCAGTGGTCAGGACCCCACAGGATCCACACAGAGCAGGTAGTATTTGGGTGGTGGATCAGCAGTGCTGCTGGAGTTTTTAAACACCTCAGTGTCACTGCTGGACTGAGAATAGTCCAACAGCGTCCTGTGGGCAGCGTCCTGTGACCACTGATGAAGGACTAGAGGATGACCAACACAAACTGTGCAGCAGCAGATGAGCTATCGTCTCTGACTTTACATCTACAAGGTGGACCGACAAGGTAGGAGTGTCTAATAGAGTGGACAGTGAGTGGACACAGTGTTTAAAAACTCCAGCAGCACTGCTGTGTCTGATCCACTTGTACCAGCACAACACACACTAACACACCACCACCACGTCAGTGTTACTGCAGTGCTGAGAATGATCCACCACCCAAATTGTACCTGCTCTGTGGGGGTCCTGTGGGGGTCCTGACCACTGAAGAACAGGGTAACAAAGTATGCAGAGAAACAGATGGACTACAGTCTGTAACTGTAGGACTACAAAATGCTCTTAAGTGGTCAGTGGAGCTGATAATGGTTGAACTGTAGTTGTTCTGCTTTTAGTTCATGGCTACTTGCTGCCACCTTGTGGTCACACTGAAACGTTCAGTCTGTAAAAACAAGCCTGTTTCTTCACGTGAAATCTCGTGAATTAATGTTTTTGGTGGGTCTCTTTACAATAAGCAGCTCTCAGACGGATAAAACACTGTTTTTGAGTTTTTGTTATTGAGTTTTTAGGGTTATTTGGGGGGAAATTTCTCTGCCCACTCGCTCTCTGACCCTGTGATGTCAGACTGTTTTCCTCTTCCTGTTTCTGCACAGAAGTTAAAGCTCAGCAGCGTTTTTAATCAAAGGTACGTTTAATTACACTGAGAGATTCATGTCTTTGTTTCATTGTCGTTTTGTGTTGGGGTCTGATGTAGAGTTTGAGTGCTGACAGTGTTGGTCGTGTGTGATATTCAGTGTCGTCTGACTCTGAAATGCTGTTTATTTTCCTGGCGGTTCACCCAGGTAGTTAGGTAAACCAGCACAGAGCTGCATGGCTGGTCACCAGCAAAACCAGAACAGGTTGTGTTTCGGATGCTGGCATGCTGGTCAGCAGCATTCGAAGTTATTATACTGGTCACTAGCAAAACCAGCATATGAAGTGTTTTGGGTGCTGGTATGCTGGTCAACCAGTATGACCATGCCGGCTGACCAGCTAAATGGAAGTCAGTATAAACTTAGTACTAGGTAGAAATTCATAGAGCATTAATATGATATCAGTTCTGTATAGAAAAAAGAAATCAAATCTGATGTATAATGTATCAGAATAGGCAATATAAATAAACAGAACTCATAATAACTCATTTGATCACACAGCAAATCTCAGTATGTAAAGCAGATTAGAGGGAATTGGGCTATAATCTTATTCCTTATATATTAAAGAGGAGTTCCACCAATTTTTGAAGACCTCTGTATAGTACAGTCGTCAAAACGTTAACCAAGCCATTCAGAGTGGTTTGGCTGGAAATGTCTCAGAGAATCTTACTGACTTGAGAAGCAATGTGTGTGGAGCAAATACCGTACTAGAAAAACCAGCATGGCAGGTCTCCAGCATATCGCTGCTGTCAGAACAAAACCTCATATCTCCGTTTTTGACATAATCTGAAAGTGCATGTTGCTATTTACGTTACGTGTAAATTTCATAATGAATGGACCAAAAGAAATGGCCCAAAATGACTTGGAAAAAAAGTCTGGCTCCATTGACTTCCATTAAAAGTAATGTATGTTTTTTCCTTCTCCTGTAAAGTTATCACTTCAGGGATATCAGGTTTTGTTCCGATGACAGCGATACGTTGTGTTTTACATGCTGGGGTGACCAGCTAAACCAGAACCAGTCCACACTAAACCATCTTACACCAGCATGAAGTGATTGCTGGTCTGTTCTGTTTTTTTCAGCAGGGTATAATGATTACCAAACGGTTTTATGTTTCTTGTCTTCATGTCTGTCTCTGTTGTTTTGTGTTTTTGAGTCTTTGAAAAGCACTATAGAAGTATAATGTATTATTATAATTAACCTACTTAAGTCTTTTGAGTATGTAAATGTAATAATGATGATTATTAAATAGAGCTAAATCTGAAAAAAAAAACATGAGGGACTATTTTACCTCACTATTTTACCTCATACTGCATGTATCTCTCTGCCATGAGTGTGTTTAGAGTTTTGAGCCAAAAGATTGTCACAAAACTATCGTAAAACAATGTTTCAGGCATCGGGCAGCATAGACCTAACTATTTCTAGTAATAAATTTCAGTGAGGCAGCTTTTAGAAGCATTAAACTCTCAGAACTGCAGACTCGTCAAGTTTCTCTACAACGTGACGAGTCTCTACAACAAGAGCATTTCACACCAAACCACTCTGGATGACTGTTTACATCTCTGCCATTGAACTATGCAGAACTTTTGAAAAATTGGTGGAGTTCCCCTTTAAATCAAAAGCTTTTGTAAGAACACAGGTTCCTAAGTGTCTAAAAGTGAATAAAATGGTGTAATTTAGGTTGTTCCCCTCTTCCTCTTTATCTCTGACTGGAATCACTTTAGTTCATCTAAATTCCTTCCATTCAAAAATTACTCTGTTTCTCTTTACTTGGCTGTTTACAGTTGAGGATTAAAAAAAGATACAGGGCACGTCCAGGTGTTCTGGGCCATCAGGTAACAGGAAACACATTAAGAAAGTCTTGTTCTGTCCAGTATCAGCTGATGCTTGCTTGCGTGTTCTTTCTAATTTACCACAAAATGTGCTAAATTAACTACTAAAGTAACCTTTAGTGAGAAAATGAATGAAATAATGGCTTTTTCATTGCAGGCATTGCAGAGACCCATGGGACCTGTAATCAACAAATGCAGAATGTCACCTTTTATTTCGGGAGATTTTAACGTTTTTGTGTGTTTTCAATTGATTTTGCTGTCTCAGTATCATTGAAGGCAACTGTATATTTGGCATGCATTAAAATATGTTAATTATTATGTCAGCATTTTGTGTTTTAGACTTTCAGACAGTTATTATAAATTTTATTTCCCTCCAGTCTATAAAAGATATAAATAAATGAACCTGAATTTGCGCTCTGTCAAAGGACTGAATGAAAGAAAACCATACAGGACATGCAGATTTCCCCACTTTTATACAGAGATGATTCATTTTAGAATTGCTGGACTATGAATAGACTTGAATATGCAGTACTGTGCCAAAGTCAGAGACGACCAGATGGACAGTTTTAGCTTTGAAAATAAAAGTGCAGAAGATGAGGAGGAGATGTTTTATGCCTTTGTGATCCTGCATGCTCCAGAAGACGCTGAAGAAGCAGCACGGCTGAAGGCCAGGCTGGAGAGAACATCATCAACAACCGGAGCCACTTTTGCTGAAGATTTTGCCGAACCGGGACGATCCCCGTTCCGGTGCGTGGAGGACGCCATAAACAACTCGGCCTACGTTCTGCTGCTGCCCAACTTCAACACTTATTCATTTAAGTCAAAATGGTCATTAAGTACAGGTTGTTCATTTTTCAGCATTAAGAGACCAGAAAACATACATTTTGCAACATTACACAAAAGCCCCAACAACTAAATATATAATATCAAATTTGCAGTATTTAGTCCAACAGCTTCCAGTCTTTTCAGGGGACTCACTTTCAGTTCCTCAAAGAATCTGCAGACACACCTGCAAAGTTCAGTCTTAGAAAATGATCAACCAGCTTCTGAAGTAATCAAACACATTCAGTGATGTTGAGGTCTGGACTCTGGGGTGGTCAGTCCATTGTTCAGCTTCTGTGTTTGATGTGTCCGTCTCCTTTTCTCAGTGAGGTTCTTCTTGATCAGCTACACATCCTTTCAGACCCACAGCGCTGAGTCGTCTTCTCACAGTGGAAGGATGGACAGAAACACCTGTGGATGTTTTTAGATCTGAAGCAGTTTGATTTTCTCCTCTCTCTCAGAGATGAAAGCTTTAAGTGCTGTTTATCTGATGGGGCAGTTTTGGTGTCTAGAAGGTCTTCCAGGTGGTTGTTGGGAGGCATATATTCTCGGTAGCTTTTCACATTTTTTGAACTCCAATTTTGAAAAATCATTTTTCACTCATTTTCTTTCTCTCCTTCCTTATGCAAGTGGATTATTTTACATCTCAGAAATCTTTTTTGGACATTTTGTCTTTGTATTTAATAAACAAAGGGTCGTCTCTGACTTTCTCGCAGTATTACAGGAGGCCTTTTTGACAGCAGTCATGCTAAGAATGGGAGGATAAAGGCAATAAAGAAATTGAAAGTGATCTTTTTCTGTTTCAGATTCATCGGCATGGATAAATCGATGTCCCAGGGCTGCTAGTTGAGTTAAGATGGCAGATATTACTTCTGAAATTTGGGGGACCTTCTAATTACACTCGGAACAGCATGGCAGAGGAGAGCAGGCCTCTGGAGGAGAAGAAGCTAACGCTAGGAACAAAGGCTAGAACAAACGCTAACACTGGGTCTACGCTTTCCTCTGACAGTCCGTCTGAAAGACCACTCTCGGGTTCTGGACGCACTGAAGATACCTTAGAAGGAGCCGGTGCTGCTGCTGAGCATCACATCATGGGTAGTTCCAACCAGCCGATTAGCATGACTGCTAATACGTCTGGAGCCGAAGCTCGTGACAGTTTGTCTGGAAGGACGATCTCAGGCTCGAGAAAGACTGAGGGAGTATTTGGAGGTGCTGGAGTTACTGCTGAACCTCAGAACGTGACTAGCTCCAACCAGCCGCTTAGCAGCGGTGCTAATGGCAGTGCTAATAGGTTTAAAATTTCCTCTGACAGTTCGGCTGAAAGAACATTCTCTGTGCCTGGAAACGCTGAGAAAAATAATGTAGGAGCCTCGGTTGGTGCTGGACATCAGAACACGGCTAGCTCCGATCAGCCGTTTAGCGGGAATGCTAGTACGTTAAAAGCTGGAACCAACCCGGCTGATATGGACGATAGCAACCCATCTTCTCTGCACTCCACCTCTACCTGCTCTTCTTATAGCCTTGAAATTAGCCTGTCCACAGCCAGTAATGAGAAGGAATCACAACCACTGCCTTTGCAGACTCCTCCAGAAAGTAGAAATGACCGGAATAAACAGATAAATCCGTTAATCCCGCCTGAAGAAACAAAACTAGCCGTAACAAACTTTTCTAGAGCTTCTGCTCCTGGGCCTCCGCATCAAAGTGCCCAACCTGCAGAGTCAGTGGCTGGTAAGGTCACTAGGTGCACAGATATGCTGGGAAACTGTCAGATTGTAACATCCAAAAATTCAGTTTCTAGTGCGGAGAATGCTTTTTCATCCATAACTAGCGGCAATGGTAAGCTGGGAGCGCAGCCGTTTAGCAAATTAGCAAGCCAGCCCCCGAAATCTGCCTCGGTGCAAAGCACTGAACGGATGGACAGCTTTAGCTTTGAAAGGAAAAGTGCAGAAGATGAGGAGGAGATGTTTTATGCCTTTGTGATCCTGCACGCTCCAGAAGACGCTGAAGAAGCGGCACGGCTGAAGGCCAGGCTGGAGAGAGCATCATCAACAACCGGAGCCACTTTTGCTGAAGATTTTGCCGAACCGGGACGATCCCCGTTCCGGTGCGTGGAGGACGCCATAAACAACTCAGCCTACATCATGCTGCTGCTAACGGCCAACTTCAACACTCGCTTGAATGAGATGAACACAGATTCTGCCCTCATAAACTCCATCGAGAAGCCTCATAAGTACAACACGGTCATCCCACTGCTGCCCCGCGACAACAGCCTGACGTCCGCTGAGCTACCTATGGTATTGAGAACCAAATTCCCAATGAGAGAAAGGGACAGAGCTTTCGAGATCATGGCTAGGAGGGTTCTGGATCCAGAAAAGATCCGGAACCAGAAGAAGATATGGAAGCAGGAACTGCTAGTCAGGAAGCAGCAAGAAAAGCAACAACAGCTACAGGATGAAAACAGACGCCATAAAGACTTCATTCGAGAGTCTGAAAAGGTCAGAGAGCTAGAAAACCAGAGGATGCACCTACTAATGCAACAGCAGCGTCTTTTACATCCTTACGCTCCACAGCCACAGTGGTACCCAGCATTTCCTGGAGGAGCTCAGCCTTTTGGTCCAGTGCCTCAACAATGGCCGGAACCAACACCTCAGCCACCATCAAGCATCCACATCCAGAACGCAAAGTACATCATGATTGGCAACGACTCCACCATGACTGTCAGAGGAGACAGCTCTGGAGACGAGGACAGTTCATGAAATATTGAGAGGAAAATTGCAGAGGTTTTCTTGTGTTCTGTTTGGTAGCGGTGTAACGATACACATATTGTCGGGTTTCTGATTATGAGGTCAAGATTCAACATGGTTTTTGATATTTCATATGCTAATGTCTAAATTTCTAGTTATTAAATGGTTCTCAGATCTTTTTATGTGCCTGCTATGCCGCAAAATACTAAAATAGGCCACAAAAAATTGCAACCTTAGAATTTATAAGCTCTTCAGACAAAAAGCCAGTGGCTGGGTTCGAAATAGCCTACTGCATACTGCTCATGTACTGATTTCCCCACAAAATAGTAAGAAAAATGCAGTTTATGGCCAACATTTCTCCAGTACGCCAAAGATACCCAGATGACGTACTGCTCAGGCCAGAAAACACGGTCATTTCACGAGGGCATAACCACTGATGTAACCCCAATGTTTAGCCCCCAAGCATTTTAGTAGCCCAAAATTCAGCCTTAAATGGATACATAAATGTTAAAAAAGGCTAATTTTTCCAAATTCTACTACACTCAGAGCAAAGTTTAAGCCCCATCAGTTTTCTGTGCTGGTCTTGCTAACTTGCTGCATAGATAATGCGGGGCCGATCGTGGGCTGCAGGTTGGGGAGCCAGCCTTGTGACCAGTAAGCCACTGGTTCGATCCCCTGAGCCGACATGACTGAAGTGCCCTTGAGCAAGACACTTAACCCCCAACTGCTCCCCGGGCATCATGGATAGTGGTGCCCACTGCTCCGGGCAAGTGTGCTCACTGCCCCCTAGTGTGTGGGTGTTTCACTGCACAGATGGGTCAAATGCGGAGGTCAAATTCCTCTGTGTGCGAGCACAGTTGGCCGGTGGTTCTAAACTAAACTAAACTAATGTGGTTGAAACAGTAGCTTAAGTTCTCAGTTGAACAATCTGCGCAGCATCTGAAGATAAAATAACTGACCTTTTAGCAAATGTTGTAAACACTGGTGTCTCTGGATTCCACAGATTTGCCACTCAAAGGGGACATTGGGTAGAAAACAACACCCTCCACTCTGTCATGCTGTCTTTTAAAAGCCACCCTGGCACATCTTTAGACCAACATATATCCACATGCCCTGCTAAGCAGCTGAAAAGCAGCCAGCAACGGTTGCTAAGCAGTGATTGGAGGGCTAAGGAAAATGGGGCGGGTCTGGAGACGGGTCTGATTGGCTCAGTTCCTCATGTTAGCGGTCTGGTCGTGTCCCTGCTTTGTAGTACGGCACACGGCTGCTGTTATATACTAGATTCAATACTGGATATATGTGCTACTGATGAAGAGTAGTATTCAATGTACAGTATGTACTGGTGCAGTGTGCAGTATACAGTACACAGTATGCTATTTTGAACACAGGCAGCTGTTTGGGAGAGGGTGTGTCCATTGCATAAGCCCCGCCCACTCTCCACCTACTCTGATAGGATGCACCCACGTGCCTAGTTTGATTGTTGACAATGGTTTCAATGAATAATGGTAACTGAGAGATGCTCATTTCTTTCTTTTTTTGATACTGTATTGAAACTTTTATTTTTTTACTGTCTGGATTAGTTTTATATTAGGAGGTGCTGTAATGTAATTTTGAGTTTGTGAGTTTTGTCCAATCAGAACTTTAATTGACTGCATATTCCTGCAGATGTAAAGATCCACAGCAGTTTTTACCTGCTGTAAAATGAACTGTAGAAGTAACCCCAGGTTATTTCAGTCCTGTGCAATTTGACGTATTCCATCATATCCTGTGGGAAAGAAGTGTTCATGTTCAGGCACTGAAACAAGCATTTCATCGCTGTCCAATGATAAACATGTATCTCCATTTTTTGTGATTTTTACTTTTCAGCATCATTTGAGCTCAGCAGCTGTCCCTCACATTGTGTGAAAGTTTTGTAATGGACCAATAGAAATGCTCCAAAATTGCTTAGAATAAAAACTTTTTCCATTAACTTACACTGAAAGTAAAGAACGTTTTGCCCTCTCCTGTAAAGTTACTATTTCGGAGATACTTGCTTTTCGTTGGACGGCGACGATTTATTTGTATTCTCAATAGCCCAAATCAAGCCAGTACGTACTGGGCAAGTAAGTGACCATGACAAACATTATGATCTGCTATGTAGGTTGATGTTATGTGACGATTTTTACAAATGACATCACTAATGGCACGGTACATTGAGTTCAGACAGCTGGGAAGGCAAATGATTAGGATGAATGAAATATTGATAAATGTTATAACGTTTTTTGTGAGCAGCCAAAGCTACAAAAGATACTGTTTATTTGTTACAAAAAAAGCACATTGGACCTTGTTCATCAAAGAGCTCAGATTTGCCCATCTTTAACATCGGATGAACTGCTCTGCGTCTGAGTCATGAAACTTTCATACAATGTAGAAACGAGCAGAGATTTGAGCGCAAATGATGAAATCAGCTTCGGTGCGTGAAATCAAGCGCCGGCCTAACAGCACCTCACTTACATATCATTCATAGGAAGCATGTTTCGGTAGGGAGCCGGAAAGACGACAGCATTAAGCATCTTGCGAGCCAATGGCTGTGTTTTTTGGTGGAGTTTGAGGTCGAACAATGAGTGCACTACTCCCCCTACTGACCAAACTTTATATGTGTTATGTGTTAAATTTACCACAGCTGGAAAGAAGAAAATGTAAAATGCATAAAACGTTTTAGGTATTTTAAGATGGTAGAATGATGTGATTGTGTAGAGTGATTATTTTCCTAAAATAACATTAAAACGCTGTATTATTGCAGGGGACAAGATGCTACTACACTAGCTGTGGTTTTTTTTTATTATTTTGTGAGTATAAAACAGAAGCACAGTTTAATACGTCTATTAATGGGAGCGTTCAAGCATTTATACCAACGTGCATGTAAAATAAGTACACCCAACCGCAAATCTAGCATTTGTTTCAGGTTGTTACACTATTACGCTCAGATTTACGCGCTCCTACCAGACGCGAGTTTGATCGTATGCATACGCCAAAGACGAAACTGATGAATAACAAACTGTAGGTGAAATTTGCGCTCAGATTTGATGAATAAGGGCCGAGTTCTTTTCACTATATTCTTCTAACCTACACATTGATACTGTTACTGACAAACAACACATTCTTCTTACTTTTAACCGTTTGTTTATTTGTATTTGTTGTAAAGTTATCCCAAAGGAAAAATGTCTTTCTAAAGATGAACACACAAATGAGAAAGCTTGAGGTCTCCTTCTGCACTGATAGACTTCTGAAGGATTTCTGAGATGTGTAAGAAAATGAGATCTTTTAGTTTTCGTATGTAAATATTATTCCGGTAAGACTGAGCGGAGACGAGTCAGACACTAAAGAGTTTGCGAGGCGATTGTTTTGATCAAAGTTTGAACATTGGTTGTTTCTCAAGGGGCCACATTTCAGAAACAAAACACTGAAGTCTCGCCCTGATTTCAAATAGGACTGAACTACGTTTAGGAGGAGTGAACGAGATCACGAGGAGACCTCCTGTAGACTCTTTCTTTCCTCTGGGATATCTTATGTTACAGTTTCATGGCTGACTAAGACTTCTGCACACTATTGTTTGTCTGGAAAAAAGCTCATTATCTCTCTTTGCTGGCCCAGACTGGTTCCCCCAAATTCTGAATCTAGTCAAGCACTGTGTTTACATGCGCTTAATAATCTGATAACTGCAGTAAATCAGATTTTGTCAGTAATCCGATCAACGCATTTACATGCACTTGAGTAATCAGATAATGGGAAAACTCCAGGTCTACGTGAGTCAGACACTAATCCGATTTCTGCTTTGCAACCAGCCAATAAACTCACAGAAGAAGACGTGACGTAAATCTAACGTAAAACTCAAACTTCATGCCTTTTTTTTAAGCATTGCGCCACTTTACCTGAAAATATGAACACACATCATCTAGAAGATGAAGAATATTTAAATCTTTCATTTCGTCGAGCATGTATTTGGTTTCAGCGTCGCTCCAACAGTGTTTTGCTGTGTCTTGCGGCGACGCTGCTCGCTTATTTCCGGTACGTAAGAGTAAGAGTCTACATGCACTGAGAAATCTGATTACTGAGCTAAAATCCAGCTCTCTTTATCGGATTTCTTTATCCGATTTCTAGACCTTACGCCGATCTAAGAAATCAGTGTATGCTGTTTACACGAGCATTTGAATAATCAGATAACTGCAGAAATCCGATAATGATCGGATTATTGGGTGCATGTAAACACACTCAAGGTTACATACCAGTGATAATAAGGCACTGAGAATAATACAGTAATACAGGGCATTTGAGACAAATCTATGTGCTCATATATGGAGAGGGTAAATAGAATATTAAGTAATTTTACTACTTTCCAACAGAAACACACGAAGCACACAAACAAGACTGCAAATTGTCATATCACTATATATGCATGAGGTGCTTATGGGCTTTAAAATGTGCAATGATCACTGAATCAGTATATGGACGATGGGGCGGTTGTGGTATGCGGTAAATTATGAATAAAATGATTACACTGGACTTCACTGACCTGCTCTGTCTGCTCTTTTGTGTTACCACAAGTTATTATATGCCGTACATGCCCTGTATTGTTATTTGGGAAGGCTTATGTAATACAGCAGCAGTTACCTAATAGGTTTCTGTCATCTTCGTCAGATGAACCAGGTCAACTTCCACCCTGTTACAGTCAGTCACTTCTGCTCTGTTCCGATTAATCAGAACAGGTTTATTTGTCATCTACGTGGAATTTCTCTTACTACATTTGGTGCAGCTTTACTGCAGTGCATAACAGGAAAATATGACGTATGCAAAAGTTTGAGCACCCCTGGTCAAATGACTTAGACATCACTACAGGGAAGAAAATCTAGCCTTTTCTGCCACTTTTAGTGCACAATTTCTGTTTATTTGCTGAGTTTAACATACAGGGAAAGAAATAAAACATAAGGTATAAAATGTGCCATAACATTTGCACAGGACACATGTTTTATGTTTTTTTTTTCCCCTCAATACGTTAAACTCAGCAAATAACCAGTAATGGCGCATTAAAATGTGCAGAAGTGTGTCTCTGTAGCGGACGTGTTCACTTATATACACTAAGAAAATCAACAAAACGTCATTTGACCAGGGGTATCTAAATTTTATTTGCCTACAACTGTATCTATGGTCATTTCTAGTCACAACATTGCTATGAATTGCTATTTGATTAGTGATTGATCATTCGTTTCATTATATTCATTTGCAGAGCTGAACAGCTTTCTCAATTATTATGGAATCAGAAAGAGCTCAGTTTATTACTGAAAATGTCTTAATTTTTACCGCTTCCTAAGAATTGTTTGAACTCTAGAATATTAGTGTCATGTTAGAATGGAATATACCTGGAGCTAAAATTGGTTTTACAGAATTGACAACAATGAAAACAGTGATTCTAAACAGTGTGTATATATCAATTTAAATATTCGATTTTTTATAACTAATAAACATTATATATATATGTGTATATATATATATGTGTGTGTGTATAATGTATATCGCTGTTGTCGGAAGAAAACCTTAATTTGAAAATACCTATTGCCTTTTACATTTTGCGTAAATTTCAAGATGAATGGACAAAAATAAATGGCCCAAAATGACCTGGAAAAAATCCTGGTTCTATTGACTTACATTAAAAGTACAGTCTGTTTTTTCCTTCTCCTGTAAAGTTATCATTTTGGAGATACAAGGTTTTGTTCTGACAACAGTCATATATATCTATATATATATATATATATATCTATATATATATATACCCCTGCTGTCGGAACAAATAAGAAAGTCATTTAAGGTCATTTATTTTGGTCCATTCATTATGACATTTACACACAATGTAAAGGGCAATAGACATTTTCAAATCATGTCAAAAACTGAAAAACAGCAGCGATATATATATATATATATATGTATATATATATGTGTGTGTGTGTGTGTGTGTGTGTGTGTGTATGAAGAAGACATTATACAAAATGCTCTTAAACAAGTAAAAGCATGTTAAATCAGGACAAAAACTGCTTAACAGTGCTTAACAGTGCTGTTTAAATATGTATTAAAGTTAAAAACAATATGTAAATATTTTTTACTTTAACACATATATATACTTTAATAGTTTAATATATATATATAATATATATATATATATAAACTGATTTAGTTCTGACCGTTTATGTAAATGTTTATGACCGTTTATGACCGTTTATGTAAATGAACCGCGCCGGTAGCCCCGCCCCCGGGAAGTGCGTCAGAAGGTCAGCGCGGCAAGATGGCGGCGACCGTGTGTCGGTGGAGACAGGTGAGACTCAAACAGAAAACGGAGAATAAAGACAGAGAGCGGCTTCGCTGACAGTCTGTCCAGCTCAGAAACGTCTCGGACTGCTGGTCTGCAGCGGTGATACTCCTCAGCAGGGGCGGAGAGCAGCGCGCGGGGCGGCTTTACTCTGTTCACTGTGTTTCTCTGGGCCTTTACTGGTTTACTGGTCCTGCAGCAGAAACTCAGACACTGCAGCGCTGATTGCCACTTCACTGGACACCCTTAAAAAGATGGGTATTTAGGGGTTCTGTAGTGAAGTGAATGGTTCTGTTTATAACCATGTCTAAAATGTTCTTTGCATGGTGAAATGGTTCTTCTCACTGATGGAGGATGTGTTGTATATGGTTCTATATAGAACCAACAAGGTTCTTCTAATGTTACAAGCTTGACCTTAGGATAGCAGAACCCTTTTTGGTGCTGTGTAGACTTTTAAAAAGCTTTAGGTGTTCGCCCCCATGTTCAAATGATCCACGTATGTATGTGTCTGTCTATATATCTGTCTCTCTGTTTTTCTGTTATAAAGGTTATAAAGTCCTTTTGGTGTTGATTTAGGTTTAATGGACCTTGTGCTGGATTTCTAACCTTGATTTTTAAATGTTTCTTTTACTATTTACTGAACTCTTTAGTCCTCTACAGTGTCTTTTGTGCTGTGAAATGTGCTTTAAAGTAAAATATGTTGTTGTTTTTGCTGCTGTTTGTTGTTAATGTTTACTTGAAGCTAAGAAAGTGGCCCAACATTAGACATTACGTTTTTCATCCTTATTGTGTTCTTTGACTACGCAGTGTAATGCCTGAAGTCTAACTGTTCTCAATCTCTTTATTTCTAGCAATATGTCAGGAGTAGTTTTATGCTCTTGGCAACGCGTTCCTGTTTTTCTGTATATGACAGATCACCTGTGCACAGGATATGTGGCTCAGTCACAAGTTCTTCGCAGGTAAGAGTTTTTCGGATCTATTTAGGGTTATTACAGTTAAACTACTATAGTAAAACTATTAATGAAAACTAGCAGTGAAAAATGCTTGTTAACCATAAAAATAAAAGAAAAATGCGGTCACTGGCCTTTTGTCTGATAAGCTTATCAAACTTTAGTTTTCAATTTTTTTTACCTTCTTTTTTTATAGAGTTTTGAAGTTGACTTCTTTAAGTAAAGCTCAAGTTGAGCTCCGTCTACTGTTTTGTAAAATTTATTTTACCCTTATCAGATACCTGCTATCACAGCATTCAGCGTAATACTGAAAACTAAAACTGAAACTAAATAAAAATTAAACTAAAACTATTAAGCACCCTTAAAACTAACTGGAACTAAACTAAAATAAAAAAAACATGAAAACTATGAAAATAAAAACTAATGAACATTTTAAGAGTATAATAACGCTGGATCTGTTAGGCTCTGTGTTACTAAAATAATCAAATACTCATGATTTGTTTATTTGTTTATTTCATGAGGCGCTAAATCATTTCCTGAAGAACTGTAATTGAATCAAGTCACACTGTACTTCTGTTCTGATTGCTGTGCAGGTACGGTATTCGTCAGAAGGCAGAGGGGGGAGAAAAGGCTTCCTGGGGGAGTTTTTGGACAGCCTGAAGCAGGAGCTGAGCAAGAACAAGGAGATGAAGGAGAACATCAAGAAATTTCGTGAGGAGGCCAAAAAGCTAGAGGAATCAGATGCTCTCCAGCAAGCTAGACGGAAATATGTAAGAGTATCTGCTTAAATCATTAGACCTTTGAAAATGAAGCATTTAGGCTGTTAGTCTCTGTTTTTGACAGAGCCAAAGAACCTAACAGTGTCAGCAGCTGCGTTTACATACACACCAATGGTTTGATACTAGCCTGGCTGAGAATGCTGGTCTAGTTAAGCTGTGATCATGTAAACAGCACAGTCTGGTTGTCAAGGTTAGGCTGAGAACCTGAGCTTAGCCCAATTAAAACATGTAGTGTAGGACCCATGTGTCAAACATAAGGCCTGCGAACCACGTCAGGCCTGTGACACAGTCCTATTCAAGCTTATCATAAAACAAGGCATTGTATGATGTATTGTTACCATTTCAAGTAATAACTTTCTGTGAGGGAGCTTTTAGAGGCATTAAACTTCAGACGTCTGGTTCCTATCACCACCACTTTGAACAATTCTGTCTCAGTAAGTTTGTCTTGAACAGAGCATTTCACTGAATGGCCTTGTTTACATCAAAACTATGCAATTGTTTATGCATACAAAATGGCTTTGAATGTGTCCCAATTGCAAAACTGTTCCTTGCATTGGCAAAAATCTGCCTGCAAACTTCTTCTCGTCCACTTTAGAAATAGAAAGCCTCCTTTAAACTACGACTTTTGCTTTGATACACTGACTAGACAGCCAGTGTTTTTTAATTGATTGTTTTATAAAAGTGTGGATGCAGGTTTTCCTTCCAATTAAACAGAAAAAACCCTGATTCCATTTGTTTCATCTCAGGCTTAAAACAAATGACTAGTTTTATGAGGTGAGCTCTTACTGGCTTGGACTGAAAGCCTGCAGCCACACTGGCACTTTATGGATAACACTGCTGACCCCTAATTTATAATTTACGATAAAGTTCGCTGCTTTTAGTGAGAGTCATTATGGCAATATTTATCATGGTGATCATTTATGTCACACTATGTGAGTCTGCTTTTCTGAGCTTGAACATGAATATCGCCAGTGCTCATAGAACACTGACCAACTGCATGTTTCATTACAATGAGAGCATAATTAGTCTTGTTGGATTAAATTTAGTGCAACACAGTATGAGAAATTCTGAAAAAATAGCACTTCTGGTTTTTGAAACAACTAAATACTGTGATTTTTTTTTTTTGTGAAAATGTCGAAGTATTCTGATGTCATTTTTGTCATATCACCCACCTTCACTCTGCTGTTGACTGTAAATATAGTCAAATATTGTAATACAGAAAACCAGAGAGTGCCTTTTGCTCTGAATATGTCCAGATTGCCAAAGTGTCAGCCAGAGCCATGAATGTCTCCCTTTCACAAACACTTTCTGCAAAAACAGAAGGACAGCTTTGTTATCTCACTGATTATTTGTACTGTCTAAAAAGGCATAGTGTACTTATTCTGGCAGCATTTCATTACCAAAACTGACCATCTCTGTGCTGTGATCTGCATTGAATCATCTCTCACAGAAAAACATAGAGTCTGAAACAGTCAAGACTTCTGAGGTGCTGAAGAAGAAGCTGGGTACACTATCAGAGACTGTGAAGGAGGTGAGTATATTGACACAGAGCAGATACTGAGGCTTTATATACTGTGTTTTCAGAGGTAAACATAACATATCTTACATTTCCTACAAAGTTTGGAGAATGTAATGCTACTCCGACTCCCACATTAGTGTTCACTGTTTGCCGCACAGAATAACTTTCCATATGTTTGCACACGTCTCCTTGTGCAGGGGTTGGAAGAGGTCGGTCGTTCAGATATCGGGAAGAAAATAAAGGAAGGAGTGGAAGAGGCGGCGAAAACAGCCAAGCAGTCGGCGGAGAGCGTCTCCAAGAGCGGAGAGAAGCTGGGGAAGACCGGAGCCTTTCGAGCGATCTCACAGGTGAGAACCCAAAAAGACCGTCTTATAGCCTCCTGACATGCAGAAGATCTCTGCTTCAGCCTCAGTGCAGGCCATTAATTAGCCAACCACCATACAAATCATGCCTCACAAAGTGATTGATTGATTGTTACCAAAGTTACCAGTATAATAAATACCAGTCAGTTATTGGTTATTAGTGATAAACAAACCAGAAGCACAAAGCATTCTGAGTAGCTCCAGCTACAATATTGTATTTAAGACTTTGGCCCAATCCCATTTCTTATTTTTACCCCTACCCCTTGTTTTCGAGTGTCACTTTGCCCCTTGGAACTGAGTTACAGGGTAGTGGTTGAAATCTTTCTCTATGAAATGGGACCCTCAAATAAATGTAGGCGACCCTGCCAGTCTGCAGTGACAGCAGAGGAGGGTAAAGTTCAGCTCCTCACTGCTGGGCTTTAGGTACATTTAGGGCATCATATGACTTCAAAAAGGGGGGCAGTTATTTATTATCACCCACCCCTAATTCTTCGGTGATATGACGCTGAAGTCAGGTATTTGTCAGCTTCTCATTCAAATTTTCCCGTTCCACCTTAAATGGAGCCATCATTTAAGGTGGAACGGGAAATTTAGCTAGCTAGCCACCGAGACATCAGCATACTAGTAGCAATTCTTATGCTTGTTATGAAGAAAAGGATCATAATACATTGAAAAGGCATTGAACTAAGATAATACAATGGTTATCATAATTTTTAACATAAAATTCTCACATTTGTGGGTTTCTTTGGTCTCTTGTTCAGCCATCTTACCGCTTTTTCTTTTTTTTACTCATAACTCTCTGTTTGGAGTCTCTGTCAAACCTCCGTTTATAGGGCCATGTAGCCCTAACACTTCGCCCCACCCCTCTATCCCAACAAGAATCGGGACACCCTACCCCTAGACATAAACATGCAAAACGGAGAGGTAGGGCTAAGTGGTAGGGGCGAGGGGGGAAAATCGGATTCCTATTGAGTTTAGGAAGTGTGACGATTGAGAATTGGCAACAATATCAGCCAGTAAAGTAATAAAAGTTTAACTAAAACTATTTTAGCAAAAAATTAAAATCTAAAAATTAAAAATAAAATTGTATCAGTAAATATTATTTGTTGTCAGATTTTTTAACCCCTTAAAATCGGTCTTGGTATCAGACACATGTTCATATCTCTGTATTCTTTGTATGTCCCTGTATTTTGCTCTTATCATTACTGTGTGAAGCTCTGTGAAACATGCTGTATATGTGAAGCGTGTGTGATCTGTGCTGCTCAGGGTATGGAGAGCGTGAAGAAGGAGATCGGGGACATTGGCCACAGTGGACCCTACAGACCACCCACCAGATTAAGGAAGAGAAGCGACTTCTCATCCAAAGCAGCAGAGGCTGAAGCCAAGGTCTTTGACGCCAACGAGTATGTTTCAGTGTTAACATCTTACTCCTGTTTTTTTTCCTCTTTTATAGAGAATTATACAGCAAATTTAGTCACATTTCTAGGAATCTACAAATGTCTGGTGTTGTGATAATCCTTAGAAGTCTAGAATTGTTATTCTCATTTTGATATTCAGGTTAAATATAGCGGCCATTTTTTTAAAATTACATAATTATGTAGTTTTATACCACAGTTAGTTCCAGCCATGCAAGCTGATTGGTTGAGAAGTGCTCTAACCATTATTTCACCATAACATCACTGTTTTTTCACAAACACTGTATCACTCCACTGAGACGACGTTGCTAAGCAACGACTGTGACAGCTGTAGGAGACGCTCAGGCCATTTGAACGTTTTTACTTTTTACTTTGCCACAAACAGAAAACGGACACTTTTAAGATCACATTTGACCGACAGCCGATTTGGTCAGACTCTGAAGATGAGACTACACTGAATTCCCAAACTGTCATCACCACTGAGCAGCTTTTCAGTTGGCAGCTGTGACAGAAGAACAGCTAAACAACCTGGAATCAGCCAGAAATGAACCCAATACCATTCGCCAAACTAAATGGGCTGTAAGATGCTTTACAGACTGGCTGGAACAAAACAACATTAATACTGATCTGGCAAAAACTGACAAAACTGAGCTGAACTTGATATTGCGGCAGTTTTATGGCTCAGTCTGTATTTCAAAAGGCGAGGCTTACAGCAGACTGAGCAGCGAGTGGGAGGAGCTCATTACTCTGACGCAGCAACAAGCTGCTTGTTAAGGAACTGTAATTTGGTGAAGGAACTGCGAACATTAAAACATATTAAACATCATGGCTGTGATGATCTACGGCGAACAAATCACAGCCGTGATGTTATTTCATGATAACACACTCCCTCTCGGGTTCTATTGCTTAAATATATTACATAGTTATGTAGTTCTATAGAACATTGTTATTAGTTGTAAAGCTCCATTTTTATGTAATTACATGTAAGTAAATTGCTCAGATTCTTTGCTTGTGAAGTATATGACCTGTCTGTCATTCTGTCTGACTGACTGTCTGTCTGTGTTTATTTTCAGGGAGGCGATGGGTGTTGTGCTTCACAAAGACTCAAAGTGGTACCAGCAGTGGAAGGACTTCAAGGACAACAATGTCGTTTTTAACAGTAAGGCTCTGTTCTGACGTGTTTTCCTTGCTCTTTTTGGTGAACTGCTCTGTAATGAAGGCAACATGGACTAGATTGTGTGTGTTTATATGTACAGCATTGTCCGTCAGTCTTTGCCGTTCAGGCTTCAGCTATTAAACTCTCTCTTCTTCTGACTGCTCTTCCATCTGTTCCTCTAGTGATGTGGTGACTAACTTAATTACTCTGTAAAAAAATCATCTGGAAGAATTGCCAGTGATTAGTTTGCATGATGATAATGCATATTTTAAATTCTTCTACTGCTCTCTCTTTTACGGTCAGGCACAGAGCCTGATGGACACACAGTTCGTGCAATTTTTCCAAATAGCTTTATTTTTAATTTAATGTTTGTTTTTGTAAGCTGAGCCACAACTAACAATAATATCTGTCTGCAGCGCAGCAGAGCCACAGTTTCACACCAGCAGGTTCAAGCCAGTGGCATTCAGCGCATGCGCCGACACTCGTTTTGGTTTTTCTTAGTGAGGTTTAGGTTAACGTTAATCACCATTTCAGTCGTTCTGTGTGGGTTTCCAATAAATATGTGATAAATTTGTGTTAGGCTAACGTTATATTTTAAGATTTATGTTGTCTGGGTAAACTAATGGGTTATTGATGGGACCAAAGGCCCCTTCAACCCCAGGTCTCCAACATAAGCACTTTCACTAATAACTGTTTTAAGTTTTCAAAACATGTCAAAAAGGAAAGTGTCTTCAGTTGCTGAGTTTGTGGAAGAGCGAAAAAGGCTTCTTCTTTATTTCAGCATCAAGTGGCACAGGGTCTCGAGAGACCCCAACTGCACAAAAACAGTGTTCCAAACAACAGTTTATACCATTTATCTGGGGTGGTTTGATATCCCCCCACCTTACTTCTCAAATTTTGATATTAGCTCATTCTCTAATAGGTGCATCTATTTGACCATCACTTTGGCCGTTACATGTTGTGCTCACTCCTAAAAACTGGTTTCAACTGGTTTTTACCAGTCTGCTCTACCTTTCAAGGTCAACTTGCCCCTCTCTTCACTGGGTCAGTAAGTACATACCAACCTATCTGTGAACCCAGGGGCTCCCAGTGTCTAGAATCTCCTATGCAGACAGACTAAGGCCTTCCCTCTGTGAGAGAATTAATATTCTCTATTAGCCAACACTTAGTATTTGGTTATTGATTACATTGTCTAATCTATTTGATTACTGATTAAGGGAATATTTATTCAAAATCTCTGTCATTATGTAGACATACAGTTCAATTAACTTACCCTTAGTATGAGGGCTTTATGTGTACACTTACACTACATGTCTAGGAATAAACCATTACCCTAAGCAGCTTAAACTGAGTGTAATATAAAGCTTTAGGCTAAAATAAACTTTTTTTTTTTAAACATATCCCTGCTGAAAAAACCCACAGAAGCCATTAAGTGTTTGCTTTGGTTTCTAATAGTTTTGTAATGTGTTTTGGATTATGGTTTAACCGGTTACTGATGGTTGATTCGTATATTGGCAGCGGTCTCCCTTCCTGAATGCTAATATGTATGGCGACACATACAATCATTACAAACAGTCTCTATTTACATCAAAGACGTTATAAATGAGGAGACCAGCCACTGGTTGAAATACGAATGTGACGCTTGCAACGCTCAACTTTCCTATAAGGACTTTGTTTACATGGCACAATCGCGCTGTCCTACTGCGCAGGATTTCCACTGGCCTGAAATTGCTGGAGTGAAACTGTGGGTGTAAATCTGTGGCTCTGCAGCTCTGCAGTCAGATTCTTCTCAGCCCAGAGTTGTGGCTCCCTTTTTAGAGCTTGTAGAACATATAAAAATACTTTCATTTCACCAAGAAGAGGCCAAAATACTGTTCAGAGACCACCCTTCATTTATTTGATTTCCAGTTAAAATGGCCTTTTCAAAATTATTTATGTTTAAGCATCAGGACAAAAGGTAGAAAACATAAGAAAATTACACAGAAGCCTCAACAACTAAATATAATATCATATTTTTCAGTATTTAGTGAGTCACTCTTTCCCTTTATTCCAGCTTCCATTCTTTTTAGGAGACTCACTTTCAGTTCCTCAAAGAATCTGCTGACACACCTCCAAAGTTCAGTCTTAGAAGCTGGTTGATCATTTTCTGAAGTAATCAAACACATTCAGTGGTGTTGAGGTCTGGACTCTGGGGCGGTCAGTCCATTGTTCAGCTTCTTTGTTTGATGTGTCCGTCTCCTTTTCTCAGTGAGGTTCTTCTTGATCAGCTACACATCCTTTCAGACCCACAGCGCTGAGTCGTCTTCTCACAGTGGAAGGATGGACAGAAACACCTGTGGATGTTTTCAGATCTGAAGCAGCTTGATTTTCTCCTCTCTCTCAGAGATGAAGGCTTTAAGTGCTGTTTATCTGATGGGGCAGTTTTGGTGTCCACCAGGTCTTCCAGGTGGTTGTTAGGAGTCACAGTTTCTCTGCAGCTTTTAATCATTTTTGAAACTCTTTTTTCCACTTGTTTTTCTAGACTTTCTCTTTCCTTATTTTACATCTAATCTCTCCTGAAAAACAAATCACTTGTACTTAATAGCCTTTTGACTGAAAATTGAATAAATGAACGGTGGTCTGTTTTGCACAGAAGAGTCTTGGCTATAGCGTCAGTGTAAAAGCCCACATTAGCCTATGTAAACAGGATCTATGGCGGCTAAATAACACTCATCATAAAAATGAGCTTTGGCTTTGATGTACACTTTGGCATTGTAAATCATTGTGGAGCTCCTCTGCACTGTTTTCATCTCATTATGTGTGCATTTGTACACCAGCAGTAACTAATGCAGTCATTTCCTGCAGAGCCAAAAAGCCATTAGGGCTGCTAATATGACATCTGTTTATTCATCAGAAAAATGCTCCGTAATGGGGTGCCTCTTGAAAAAAGCAGTGAGTGCCTTTTAAAATTTGATAGGTATTTTCAACAGATGGCGCTGCAGCCTCAGTAAAAGCCGCTGTGTTCTGTCTGAAAGACTCAGCCGCTCATTAACGTTAGAAGAGAATGAGAATGTCTCAGGTGGCCTGAATCATTCACCTTAATTCTAATGAGATCCAACCAAGGAGCTTTCTTTGATGAGCACCAGCGTCTCAGTGGTTCCAGTGATAATCAGAAGACAGCCAAAACGTGTAAAACCATCCAGTCTGAAGTAGAGCTGGACAGTATGACGATACAGCAGCATTATTATGATAAGCTACTTCACAGAATGCTTTTCCAAGCATATTGTGGATATAGTCTGTATTTAAACACCAGCCAACTACATGTTTCGTTATAGAGAGAGCATCATTAGTCCTGTTCAATTGGATTTAGTGCAGCATGTCTTTGTACTCATCGCTTTTCAGAACTAACTGCTTTACTGTTTTGCTGGGTCATTTTGTCTGATCCAAACCTCAGAAAAACTATCATGTAACATGAAAATGTAGAATGATATTAGTCTGTATTTTTGCCATTTTCCCACCCCTAATTCTTTTGATCAGTTGGGTTAGACAAAAAGGGAACATAGTGCCACATGTAAAAAGGCCATGTAGAACCATGAGAACAGTTTACAGTGATGTTTATTCAGTATTTCACGCACTGCACTAAATTTGGTAATGCAGGACTAATTATTTGGGGGTGTGACTGTTAGGCTGGGGCAATAGGGTGACATCATCAGATATAGTCAATGATTGACAAGTAACTCAGTAATGATCCTTAAAAGACGTCATAATCACCATGTTGGGAAAAAGAACTGATGGAGAGCTAGAGAGTACTAACTTACTTAAGCAGTAGAACCCGAGAGGGAGTGTGTTATCGTGAAATAACATCACGGCTGTGATTTGGTCGCCGTAGATCATCACAGCCGTGATGTTATTGGCGATCACACACTCCTTGAGTGTTCTATCGCTTTTATACAACAGTCAAATAAATAAAGTAATAAATTAATAAACTGGGCCGTGAACGCGGCGTTTAATATGTTTTAATGTTCGCAGTTCCTTCACCAAATTATAGTTCCTTAACAAGCAGCTTGTTGCAACGTCAGAGTAACGAACTCCACCCACTCGCTGCTCAGTCTGCTGTAAGCCTCGCCTTCTGAAGTTCAGACTGAGCCATAAAACTGCTGCAATATCAAGTTTAGCTCAGTTTTGTCATTTTTTGCCAGATCAGTATTAATGTTGTTTTGTTCCAGCCAGTCTGTAAAGCATCTTACAGCCCATTTAGTTTGGCAAATGGTATTCGGTTCATTTCTGGCTGATTCCAGGTTGTTTAGCTGTTCTTCTGTCTCAGCTGCCGACTGAAAAGCTGCTCAGTGGTGATGACAGTTTGGGAATTTAGTGTCGTCTCATCTTCAGAGTCTGACCAAATTGGCTGTCGGTCAAATGTGATCTTAAAAGTATCCATTTTCTGTTTGTGGCAAAGTAAAAAGTAAAAACGTTTAAATGTCCTTAGCGTCTCCTACAGCTGTCTAAGTCGTTGCATAGCAACAGCGTCTCAGTGATACAGCATTTGTGAAAAACCTGTGATGTTATGGCGAAATATCAGCACAGTGAGAACACTTCTCAACCAATCAGCTTGCATGGCTAAAACTGACGGTTGTATAACTTTAAACAGCTTGCAAAGTAATATTAAATAATATATACGCATGTTTTATTCATATTTATTGTCAAAACACTGTGTTATTATGGGGCCTTTTTTGAAGCAGTTTGGCTACGTAGAGTAAATTCCCCACTGAGTGTGAGAAACATTTTGGTATTTTACTTACAGCTAAAGTGTCCCAGTGGATCAGATGAATTAAATTAGTAAAGTTAATTAGTAAGTAATTAAAAGAATATGTAGTACTGCGTGCTTTTCCGAAGGCATCTATGGATGAATTCCAGCGTGATTCCAATATAACAATACAAAACAACTCATATAATCAATAATTGTGATTTTGTTAAACTAGAAAATATCATGCTAATTATTTTTTGATATCGTCCAGGTCTCGTAACTGTACGTTTAGCCCATGATTTGATTAGTTTCCTGATGCTGGGTTTATGATTGAATATTCTCATGATATTTCAAACAAAACCTGGATATAAAAATGATGACGAATCGTGACGATGGCACTAGAGCTGGGAGGAGTGCTGGCTTGAGCTGCTGATCGGTGCTGATTGTTTGCTAACATTGCTGTTCACACAATGCGATTGCATTAAATGGCGTAATTCATGGATGCTGACAGATTCTTCCCTCTCCACCATGCACACTGTCACAGCTTTGTATTGCGATCACAATGTCACGATGTATTGTTACACCCCTGCTAATTATGCTCAATTTGTAATGGAGCATGCAGTTGGTCAGTGTGCTTAAAGTACTGCTAATATCCAGAATATGCTCAGAAATGCGTGTTGTGAGTGTTATATAATATGATAACGGCAAATATTGTCATTTTGCCCAGTTTTAGAATAAAATGTATTCCTTAAGTCACATTTCCTCCTGAAGCAACTGCTGGGGGTTTGATTATGGTTGGAATTAAAGGAGAATTTAGTTGTTTAAAAATATTTATAGATTTATATTCCAAATTTCTGCCACTTGGAACAGTCCACTTTGAAATAGTCAGCATCCCTAAATGTTAGAGAAAATCCCAAGTGAATTTCTGTGTTTTTTGCTCATATTTTAAATGATGAACTTTTATTAGATTATTTTGCTGCACTGTTGTGGTCTTTCTGTCCTTGCTGCTGAGATTTTGCAGGGCAATCAGATGGTTTTATATGAGGTTTGCATGTTGAATATTTGGAAAAATTACTGATCTGATACTGATCTTCTGTTACAATCCACAGGATTCTTCGAAATGAAGATGAAATATGACGAGAGCGACAACGCCTTCATCAGAGCGTCCCGCGCCGTCACAGACAAGATGACGGACCTCATAGGTAAAGGTCCCGGTACTGAAAAAAACATGAGCGTCTTAGTTTATCCTTTTCCAGTAAAGTAATTTGGAAGGCTTTGTTCAGTTTGTTAAATCGAAAAAAGATGGGTAGATTATTTGACCCCTAGTTTCAGTGTCTCTGTGCATTGAACTAGAGGCAGCTTCTGTCTTATGTATCTTCATCTCTTTGATTAAAGTTCATTTTCATCTCACCTGTTTCTGATCAGGTGGGCTCTTCTCCAAGACCGAGATGTCCGAGGTCCTCACGGAGATCCTGAAGGTGGACCCCAGCTTCGATAAAGATTCTTTCCTGAAACAGTGTGAGAAGGACATCATCCCCAACATCTTAGAGGTGAGTGACCTCACACTTTTACCACTGCTAAAAGATATGTTGGGACCGCATGGGCTAATATATCGCTGCTGTCGGAGCAAAACCTCATATCTCCATTTTTGGTCATATTTTGAAAATGCCTCTTGCCCTTTACATTGTGTGTAAATTTCATGATGAATAGACTAACAGAAATGACCTAAAATGACCTGAAAAAAGGTCTAGTTACATAGACTTACATTAAAAGTAAGAGATATTTTTTTCCTTCTCCTGTAAAGTTGTCATTTTGGAGTAACGAGGTTTTGATCCGACAGCAGCGATATAATACAATACTGTCTGTTTCACTGAAATCACGTCTTTCTGTTCCTCTGTCTGTTTACAGGCCATGATTCAAGGAGAGCTGGAGGTTCTGAAGGACTGGTGCTATGAAGCTGTATGTGGACATGCAGTGATTTGATTAACACTCTGAATTAAGCGTGCATGATTGTTGTGATGGATGCTGAGAATATGTGAACTGAGCTGACTGTTATTTTCCTCTTCGTTTTGTAGACCTACAGTCAGCTGGCCCATCCGATCCAGCAAGCCAAAGCCATGGGGCTGCAGTTTCACTCCAAGATTCTTGACATTGACAACATAGATGTGAGTGTTACTCAAACTTCTGAAATAGTTATGCAGATTTAAGGCCATTTAAGGTGGAATGGGAAATTTGAATAGGATGCCAAGGCTAACCCAAAAAAGTGTGGCCATTTTTTCATGTCTGCCACCTCAAAACAAAGTGGACTACTTCAGATGCAACAGACTACTTCAGGGGTCGGCAACATGTGGCTCTTTTACTGCCCTGTTGCTGCTCCACAGCAGAATTAGAGATTTAGGTAAAAATAAAATAATCCTCCTTTACAGTAAAATAAAGCTCTGCTGATCGTTCAACACAGTTTAACAGTAAATGTTCTTAAATGCTGGAGTTAATGTAGAACTTTAACCCTGAAGGTTGGCACGCAGACTGCTGGTCACCATAGCAACAGAGACAACGATCTCGCCTAGCTAGTAACTAACGAAAAGGCAAAGAGAAAGATTTAAGGCGAACATCGATAATTTGGAGATGAATGGACTTATTTACATTAATAATCACTCCAGCTGGTTTCCTGATACGTTTAATCTGCAACGAGAAACTGTCAAACGCTAAAAAGTCACAAGGCTGAAGTCAGTTTCTCATTCGCCAGCTTCTAGTTCGAATTTTCTCGTTCCACCTTAAATGGTGTAGCAGTTACATTCTGACGCCTCAGGAACCATTTAAGGTGGAACGAGGGAATTTGAACAAGAAGCTGGCGAATGAGAAGCGACTTCAGCCTCATAAAAAATCAAACGTTGAGAGACATTTTACAAAAAACTGTTCTACTTCTATGAAAAAGTTTCCTGCCGGAGATGCGAGAAAAGATAAGATAATCCTTTATTAGTCCCACAATGGGGAAATTCACAGTGCTACAGCAGCAAAGGGACAGCAAGGCACTCAAGAAAGAAGTAACAAGAAGAGAAGAAACCTTGTTAATTACTTAACAGGCTTAAGGGTTACTTAAAAGCAGCTGTAGCTGAGGTAAAGCTTAAAGCAGAGCAGTCTGTGTTTTCGTTTATGTTATATTTTTTAGTCTACATTAGGACATCAGCACATACTGAGACATATTTACAGCCAATGTGGTAAAACGTTACTTCAGTAAATGGGCATAAAATGTTGTGGCTCCTAAGGTGGTTTGATTTTTGTTGAAAGGACAAAATGGCTCTTCTACACATTTGGGTTGCCGACCCCTGGACTAGACTGCCCACTACTGTTCAGTGTTTAGCCACATTTACATCCATTTATCTTCTCTTCTCTGCAGCTTGCTATGGGGAAGATGATGGAGCAAGGCCCCGTGCTCATCATCACCTTCCAGGCTCAGCTGGTGATGGTGATCCGTAACACAAAGGGTGAAGTGGTGGAGGGCGACCCGGTGAGTGCTGATGCAACCTGAAGGGTGCCGAGTCCAGCACAGTAGGGTGTAATTATAAGATGTTAGCTGTTAGCACTACTGGCCCTTTAGGGGGCCTTCACACTTCGCTTTTTTTATCCAAAGCTGTCACCACCTGATTACCATCCTATAGGGAGGAACTGCATTGTTTAAAACAAGGGAAGAAAAGGTTTAAGCCATTTTTGGCCATTTTTCCAACTAAATGTTACTGGATCCTGGACCAGCACTCTAGCGCTCCTGCACACTGAAATGACATCGCATATACACCGATCAGGCATAACATTCTGACCACCTCCTTGTTTCGACGCTCATTGTCCATTTTATCAGCTCCACTTACTATATAGGTGCACTTTGTAGTTCTACAGTTACAGACTGTAGTCCATCTGTTTCTCTGCATACTTTGTTAGCCCCCTTTTACCCTGTTCTTCAGTGGTCAGGACCCCCATGGACCCTCACAGAGCAGGTACTATTTGGGTGGTGGATCATTCTCAGCACTGCAGTAACACTGACGTGGTGGTGGTGTGTTAGTGTGTGTTGTGCTGGTAGGAGTGGATCAGACACAGCAGTGCTGCTGGAGTTTATAAACACCTCAGTGTCACTGCTGGACTGAGAATCGTCCACCAAACAAAAATATCCAGCCAACAGCGTCCTGTGGGCAGCGTCCTGTGAGCACTGATGAAGGACTAGAGGATGACCAACACAAACTGTGCAGCAGCAGATGAGCTATCGTCTCTGACTTTACATCTACAAGGTGGACCGACAAGGTAGGAGTGTCTAATAGAGTGGACAGTGAGTGGACACAGTGTTTAAAAACTCCAGCAGCACTGCTGTGTCTGATCCACTGCCAAATGTACTTAACTACGTTTGAGAAAGCTTGCAGGTTTGTGTGGGGTATTTTGGTGAGGTTGCCAGTGTTTGGTCCAACATGGTTGAGACGTTGGTGATACTGGTGTGCATTGATAAGTGAAAAATATTACCCAGATGTAAAAGCTTACATTTTGTCCATTAGACTCATATTTACTGAAAAAAATTAATGAACCAGCAACTAAAAATAATCAGTTTTATTTTACTTGATCAGTGTTTATGCTTCTCACTGCACATTGCAAACAGCTCATGCCTCACTGTGGAGCTGCTTTGACTGAGCTCTGCTTCAGAAGCCTGTGAGCACTGTCCGGGTTATAAATCTGACGCTAGAGTGGTCTGACAGCACCCTGAGGGGCTTTTGAATGGAGACAGTTCTGTTTCATAGAGCAGGGCGCTGACCATGAGGTCGTCAGTGGACACATTTTTAGACCTCTGTAAAAATAGCCAAGAATAAAACCACACATTGTTCTATCTGGTCAAGTTATTTTTGTTCTAATGTCAAACCTTAGTGATGGAAATGTTGCTTGTGCATTTATATAGAACACATGTACAGTCGTATGCAAAAGTTTGGACACCTCCAGTCAAATTACATGTTTTGTTGATTTTCTAAGTGAAAATAGGTTAACACATGCTCTAGAGAAGAGAAGATGCTTTAATATGATATTTTTCAGCTCATTGTAGTGCACAATTTCTATTTCTTTAATGAGTTTAACATACTGAGAACAAAATATAAAACATGCCATAACTTTTGAACAGGCTTTTATGTATCGTCAATATGTTAACTTCAGCCAATAAACAGTAATTATGCATTAAAATGTGCCGAAATGCGTTCTCTGTAAAGGATGTGTTAACTTTTTTATTATTATAATAATTATTACAAATTAGGGGTGGGCAGTGTGACAGTAATTTATCGTTATTGTAATAATTTATATCAGAATATGCTTTTCTGAGTATATCATGGGTATTATCAGAACTGAAAGAACACTGACCAACTACGTTGAGCATAATTAGGCCTGTTTAATTGGATTCAGTGCAATGCAGATTGTAAAATATTTGAATAAAAATCATTGTAGCTGCAGGTTTATTACTATTCTAATACTTAGTGTTGCACCACGACTGTCAGTATCAGCGACTTTCAGTGTTTTTTCTGGCTTGGCTGAGGCGACGGGCCGTGAGACCTCGCTGCTGATACAGCTGACGGAGCTGTGACGGAGGCACACTGTAGGTGGGGCTAGCGGGCTGCTATGCCAAAGGCTAAATTGAAGCTAAGGGCTTTCATTATGCCAAAAGTCCGGCGGCTACTTCCGCTCTCCCAATAACATTAACTCAGACTGTACGTGACCACACGGCGGCAGACGAGGTATCAGCATCGATACAGATACAGTATTAGTATGGCTCTTTTTACTAATTATTTAATAGTAAATGTTAAATATATACAGTAAATAAACAAAAATAAGTTTCCTTATGCATCTAATAAATATAATCCAACAAGTAAATGCCATCTAGCCAAGCTGAGTGTGCTTTATTTGTGATGCAGAGCGAAGATTTTACCAAAATAAAACATTTTAAAAATGTAATTGTATAAATATCAGGACTTACAGGTGAGTTAGGTCAGATAGAGTTAGTATGGGTATCAGTACTCTGTATCGGCCGATACTAAAGGATCAGTTATCAGTATCGGAAGGGAAAAAGTGGTATTAGTGCATCTCTAATTCTATTTGTGGAGCTACGGGAAATGCTTAAAAGCATAAATAAGCATAAAACTGAATGTCGTGATGCATTTTGTATATCATGAAAATGTTGAAGTATCTTGATATAATTTTGCCATATTGCCCACCCCATTACAAATAGATACTTATTGCATATCGCTGTTCTCGGAAGAAACCTTGTATCTCCAAAATGGTAACTTCACAGGAGAAGGAAAAAACATACTGTACTTTTAATGTAAGTCAATGGAACCAGACTTTACTGGAAACTGAAAAATGACAAATGGAGATATAAGGTTTTCTTCCGACAGCAGCGAAATACGTATGACTCCATTTTCTTACCATTGTACAAAAACTGGTGTGTTCGTCTGTCTGCTGGTTTTTAGGACAAGGTCCTCAGGATGATGTATGTCTGGGCTTTATGTCGGGACCAGGAGGAGTTTAATCCTTACGCTGCCTGGAGACTTCTGGACATTTCAGCGTCCAGCACTGAGCAGATCCTATGAGGAGCTTCAGCACTCACGCTCAGGGCTGGGGAGGGAGAATCGGGCAGTGCACACACACCGACACACACACTCAGCCAGAGTAGCGGGGGGGCTCGGCCCTGAGGCTTTTACTAGCCATCCAGCAGCCCCTGACCTGCAGTCTGGAGCTTTCCAGAGAAGACTGACTGGACTACAAGGCTTGATTGACCATGCTGAACATAAGTGCAGCCCATTGACCTGCTCTGTCACTGGATTGATAGTGATGTCACACGGTTGGATGCTCATGTGACTCTCGGCTGATTCTCTTGTATTTTCCGCTCGCTGGCTGCCCAAAAATAGAGAGTGAGAAACTCTGCGTTTGTCTGTTGGCTTTCTCTCCACCCAGTAGGGAAAACAAGTGGTAAAAGCACTGAGTCGTAAGCTTAAAAGGATAGCCAGATATCCTAGCTGACCTTAGCTAATGATCTGTGGATGCTAGCAGGGCCAGCACTAAGCGTGGTGGTAGCTTCCATTCATCGTTAGCTATTAACAATTTTTTCCTGAGCTGTCTCTTTAAAGACCTGCTCAAAATGGTTTTTATATTTGCATAAAGTAATCAGTCCCTAGGTTTAATATGAAATAAAGTGGCCTAACGTTTATCAGATTTACGATTGCAGTTGTAATATCCTATTGATTATGTCCCGAGCTTTTAATCAGATTTAAAGGAACGTGCCAACACTTTGACAGAGAATCTCTTGTTTAATTTGTCATGCAGTATTTGTGTGCAGAAACCTTGATTTGGAGATTTTCTCGGCAAATTTTGAGAAATACATACTGTCCTCACTTCATATTTTAATAGCAGCCAAGAGAACCAGCCCCCCTTCTTATCTTAAAGGAATGTTTAGCCAAATAAATCTAATTCACACATTTGTCACCTTGACCCAAATTCAGTCAATCAGCCAAGACGTGTTCTGTGTCTGAAATGTGCTTCTTTATTTTTAGACTGAAGCTACAAGGCTAATGTCGCTTACAAGTAATGCAAGTCTGTGTCACCCAAAATCGAAAATCTAGCCTCGTAGCTCCAGTGCAAAGCTAAAGCAGCAAACGTCAGATTTAGGACATGTCCTGGCTCATTGACTGGATTTGGGGAAACTGTAATTTTATTATTTTTTTGGAAAACTATTCCTTTAAACGCTAGAAGAACAACAGCAAAGCTCACATCTGATTTAGAATATCTTCTAAAGAACCAACCCAGCAGCAAATATGGAATACTGAAAGTATTTTAATGTATTTATTGCACAAAAACATGAAGTTATTGGCCAAAACGTGGGATTTGTCTTTCAAGGCCTGCCTTAACATTCTCTCCTAGAGGAGTAGTGATCTGAACGGAGTATAAAGGTGTACTGTATTGTGTTTTTCCAGTTCAATAAAGCCTCGGTTATGTGGGGCTGAAATCGTGTGTCCGTCTCAGTCTTTTTAAGGACACATCACATTCCAAGACGTTCCCTCCTATTTACGGAGAATGTCCGCGGCTCTTTGACTGCCCTGTTGTGGCTCCACAGCAGAATTCGATTTGTAGGTAAAAATAAAATAACCCTCCTTTACAGTAAAATAAAGCTCTGCTGATCGTTCAACACAGTTTAACAATAAATGGTCTATTTTATTTTATAATTCAAAATAATTATTAATCATTTGCATGTCGTCAATTAAATAGTTAATGATTCAATTGGCACTTAATTAATAACTAACAATCATATAATTGTTAACTATAATTGACAAACCATTTTTTAAGTCTCTGTTGTTATGAAGTGTTGCCAAAAAAAATCAGCAAGATGACGCTCACCTGACACAAGGCAGAAAAAGTGCAGCAACTTGCTGTATGCAGTGTATAGTGTATTAAGCGTGAGAATGGGGGGCTGGGGGGGTGGGACATAGTCAGATTTATAGCTTCCAGCAGTGGAAATATGGGGGAAGCCTGATGAACAAGCCCATGCATTCATCCATCGTTGAGCTGAGGCTATTTCAGGCCTGTCTGTGGTGATGAATCCCCCTGCAGCTCCGCCGCCCCCATCCCTCAGCACTGCCGCCAAAACTTTCTCAGCAGCGCCCGAGCTCACCCAGCACCTCCACAGCCTGACACTGCTGTACTGGGAACGCTACGGTGTTCGGTAATTGGCCGAGGTAACCAGCATGCCAGCATCCGTAAACACAACATGCGCTAGTTTTGCTGGTAACAAGCAGAGTTAATAGTCACTTACTGTAAATAATATTTTCAGCCATCATAATGTTATGTTGGTTAACAATAATGACCATGTACTGTATTTATAAATGCAGAAATATATTTTTTCAAGACTATATACTAACAGAAGTATATTACTGTAATCAACATCTTCATTTCTGAATTTGATATATCTGCTTACACATATTAGGAAATGAAAGAGTTAAAACAGTTTAATTGTATCTTAACCCTTGTGTGGTGTTGATGTGTGTGTTACTCAGCGGTCTGCTGGACCCACCACATTATTGTTTTTTACAATACAGTCATAACAATTTATGTAAAAATACCAGATGTTTAAAATATCACAAGTGTCCAGCGTAGGGTTCTCCTTTAGCAGCTGTAGCCAGTCAGCAGCCTGTCCATGTTGTCCACCCTCACACTAACAGCAGGCCATGTAGGAGGAGAACAGAGTGAAGGACACAGCACCTCCACACTTTTACTCCCCGTGGGTTTCAGTGAAGGCACTGAAAATGGATTATTTTAAACACCGATCAGGCATAACATTCTGACCACCTCCTTGTTTCTACACTCATTGTCCATTTTATCAGCTCCACTTACTATATAGGTGCACTTTGTAGTTCTACAGTTACAGACTGTAGTCCATCTGTTTCTCTGATACTTTGTCAGCCCCCTTTTACCCTGTTCTTCAGTGGTCAGGACCCCCATGGACCCTCACAGAGCAGGTACTATTTGGGTGGTGGACCATTCTCAGCACTGCAGTAACACTGACGTGGTGGTGGTGTGTTAGTGTGTGTTGCGCCGGTCTGAGTGGATCAGACACAGCAGTACTGCTGGAGCTTTTAAACACCTGAGTGTCACTGCTGGACTGAGAATAGTCCACCAAACAAAAATATCCAGCCAACAGCGTCCTGTGGGCAGCGTCCTGTGACCACTGATGAAGGACTAGAGGATGACCAACACAAACTGTGCAGCAGCAGATGAGCTATCGTCTCTGACTTTACATCTACAAGGTGGACTGACAAGGTAGGAGTGTCTAATAGAGTGGACAGTGAGTGGACACAGTGTTTAAAACCTCCAGCAGCACTGCTGTGTCTGATCCACTCGTACCAGCACAACACACACTAACACACCACCACCACGTCAGTGTTACTGCAGTGCTGAGTATGTTCTTCACAGAAAATGAAGAATCTGAGGTTGAAATAATAATAAATAACTTTTTCATTTTTTTCTTTTGGTAAACACTGAAAATGGGTCCCACAGACCCCCAACACCACACAAAGGTTAAATGTGGCATTACAGTTTCACTGTTTTTGTCTAATTTGTTCACAACCTTTAGAAAAACTAAACATCGCGTATTGTGAAAAATGTGTTTGAGTGTTATGATGACTTAATCTGACCTGCCATAATGTGTCACTGAGCTGCAATGACTCATTTATGAGCATCACATTTCTGACTATATTAATACCAGCATGCATTACTTACAACTACAAATCGGCTCTATTTTTTAATTTATTTTGCAAATGTAAAGTTGAATTCCTTTCGTATGCAGAGTTTTGAGCTCAGCTGCATTAAAGCGGCTCCTTCGGAATAAGAGTGTTTTGCTGATGAAGCAGAAGAAGCGTCTAAGATTTGCATGTGCCGTGAATAATTCCCCGCTAACTGCATGTGATAAGGTCACCCCTGAATTCTAAGTGAAGCTTTGGCAGATATGGGGGGGTGTTTGAGTGCTTCACGCTTGGAGACGTGCTGAGAGAGAGAGAGAGAGAGAGAGAGAGAAATAGCACAGCTTTGACATATTCATGAGGGGCCAAACTGAGCAAAGAGCCGTGCGTTAACTTTCAGAAAGCCAATTAGAGGCACATTCTTAGCTATTTACACACTCCTGCTGGAGGCCGTGTGTGTGGCTGCATGCAGGGCCTTCATGTCTTCATCTAGAAAAACATGCACAGACAAGCTCGATTTCAAAATTAAATCTCGGCTCATCCCAGACGCGTCTGCTAGCCCTTAGCCACGAGGGCGGATTCTTTACGAGAACCTCTAATTCTGTTCTGGATGGAAACAATGGCAAATCTGCTTTCTATTGATCAGTGTTCCTGCTGCCAGCTTGGCCACCCCCCTCCCTCGGTTTGTGGCGAACACTTTGTCACCGGATTTAAAGCGCCGGGGTCAGGCTCTCAGACTGGGAAGGCCTAAACCCCTGTGGCTGTATATCTAACTCCCTGTCTCGAAACCCCGCAAATGGCTCCATAAGTCGTCCGAGGGTGTCACCAGTCAAGGGAACACCTTCATAAACGTCTGAAGTGATAACGACTGAACAGTACGTCATGATCTCGAAAGGTTTCTCGACTCAGAAGACTGAAACTGATGACATCATCTGTCAGCGATAACGGAGAAAGTTATAGATACAGTCGTGAGAAAGTTTGAACGGCACCGGTCAAATTGCCTATTTGTGTGTCCTCTACAGGGAACACACTTCTGCACATTGTAATGTACAACTACTGTTTATTTGCTGAGAAAAAAAATTAAAAAGAAAATAAAACTTTTTCACAGACCACATTTTATGTGACGTTTCTTCCTCAGTTTGTTAAATTCAGCAAATAAACAGAAATTGCGGATTAAATTTTAAAAGATTGTAACATAATCCAGCGCTGTCGATTCACAGCAAGAAGGGCCTGGGTTCGACTCCCGGCCGGGCGACCAGGGTCATTACTGTGTGGAGTTTGCATGTTCTCCCCGTGTCTGCGTGGGTTTCCTCCGGGTACTCCGGTTTCCTCCCACAGTCCAAAAACATGCACTCAGGCTGATTGGACGTGCTAAATTGCCCCTAGGTGTGAGTGAGTGTGTGAATGTGTATGTCTGTCTGTCTGCCCTGCGATGGACTGGCGACCTGTCCAGGGTGTATCCTGCCTTCCGCCCAATGACAGCTGGAATAGGCTCCAGTACCCCACCACCCAGAAGGATAAGCGGTTTAGATGATGTGTGTGTGTGTGTGTGTGTGTGTGTGTGTCTGTGTGTGTGTGTGTAAAACATAATCCCATAAATTTTTCACATATATGTAAAAATTGACGCTATTATTTATCGTTACTGTCCAAAGAAAAACAAGTATCTCCAAAATAGTAACTTCACGGCAAAAACACAAGTTAATGTAAAGACATTTTATTCCAAGTGATTTTAGAGCATTTCTATTGGTCCGTTCACACCCTCCCCTGGGTGGTTCTAGCACCGCCCTCTCAAATAAGAGTCCTTCTCCAGATGAACTGGTGAATGAACACTAAAGAACACGCAGCCTAAAACTAACATGTCAGAAACATTTCTAGAACATGCTACAGTGCAGTACAGCTACACGCTCAAAAATGATGGCTCTTCAAGGGTTCTTTAGTAAAGAAACAAAGTACTTTGCATGGTGAAATGGTTCTTCAGATGGACGTTCTATTTAGAACATTTTTGAAAAGTGTTCTGTATAGCACCCAAAAGGGGTTCTGCTATTATGATGATGTGAGGATTGTAACAATAGCGGAAACCTTTTTTGGTTTGGTGCTATATAGAACCATATACACACTGAAAAATGATGGTTCTTCCAGGGTTTCTTAGTAAAGATTATGGTTCTATATAGAACCATGAACACTCAAAGAGCCATTTGCATGCTTTAAAGGGTCTTTGCATGATAAAAGCGTTCTTCAGGTTGATGGAGAATCTGCTGTATATGATTCTATATAGAATCTTTTTGAAAATGGTTCTATAGAGCACCAAACAAGAGTTTTATGATGTCAAGGTTGTAACAGTAGAAGAACCCTATTTGGTGCTATATAGAACCCTTTTCAAAAAAGGTGTTATATAGAACCATATACAGCACAAAAATAGAATATACTCCTGTTGAGATTATTGTAAATTTAATTTAATTAATGATTATTTAACTCATTTCTAGACATTTTGTACTTGTTTTAAGTGATTTTTTTAAGTGAAGTTAATTTTTCTCACTATACAGGCAGATTATATTGCTTGTATTCTGAAATGAGCTTGAAGCCAACAAAAGTATCTGCTAGTATAGTGAGATAATTTTACTTAATAAAATCACTTAAAACGAGTAAATAATGTCTAGAAAAAGGCTAAATAATCTTATAATAACACAACCATCTCAAAATGGGAAATATTAGACATATTGAGTAGATTTAGGATCATTTTACTTGACAAGGTATCAATTTTTGCAGTGAAAGA